GACAGGAGTTCAGAGCACCTGTTGAAGGTGTTTCCTGAAGGGCAGGTGTGTCTTGCTAACTTTCATTGCACCTGGATTGCCCTCAGCAGGGACCTGTCCTCTGGAAGCCATGCCTCTGCTGTTCCTCCTGTCCTCACTGCATCTCCAGGAGGTCCTGTGCTCAGGCCTCACCAAGCTTTTTATAGTGAGAGGTAAACAAGGTAGTGGTTACCAAAGTTACACTTTTCTTGTGAGTTTCACTTGTTTACACCATGGTTATACTTCCTGCACTTCCTCAGCCCATTAGATTCCCAGATAAGATCTTGGGAGTGTTATAAGGTCAAGCCTAATTATGCTAAGAGGACTGTGCCCTCTAAGCTGGGACTTGTTTGTGACTTTGCCAACAGGTCAGTCGAGGCTTAACCCTATATCAGTTTCCCACAATAACAAAGAAACAGAATTTCCAGAGGATGAGGCCCAGAAATCAGGATTTGAAAAAGAGTCCCAGGTGATTCTAATGTGCAGCCAAGGTTGAGAACCACTGCCCTAAATCAGTGGTCAGCAAACTGCGGCTCGAGAGCCACATGCGGCTCTTTGGCCCCTTGAGTGTGGCTCTTCCTAAGCCTTAGGAGTACCCTAATTAAGTTAATAACAATGTACCTACCTATATAGTTTAAGTTTAAAAAATTTGGCTCTCAAAAGAAATTTCAATCGTACTGTTGATATTTGGCTCTGTTGACTAATGAGCTTGCCGACCACTGCCCTAGATGGATTTTAAGAGTCTGAGGAACTGATGGGTTCTTACTGGATCCTTTCTGAATAGAAATCAGAAGCTTCGTGTAAAAGAGGAAACACAGCATTTATATTCTGTGCCCTGGGCATCCCTGATCCTGTCCGTCAGAGAGGGCTCCTCTGGAGTCCCCTTCCTGAGTGGATAAAGAAGGCTGTGCAGGGGAATGTTCTGAGGAGGTGAAGCCTCTGGCATGGCCTTGGGCCCAGCCTGGGGGGCAGAGACCCCAGTGGGGCTCAATCAGGCTCTGAGACACCCCACCCCTTTCCATTTATGGTTCAGCCGGGCTGGGGGCTTAGCTACACACTCAGAGCCCAGAGGAGAGGACTCTGATTAGTGTGGGGCTGGGTGGGGTAAGGCAGCTGGGACAGGGCCTCTGACTCCTCATCTGAAAGAAGGGTGACGATCCTGTGGGCAGGGTGGTGGTGAGGTTCTGGGAGGAAAGGAATGCACAGGCTTTGGGCCCCACTCTGCCTGGGGGTGTAGGGGAGAGCGATGACCACAGTAAGGTGACAGAGAGTCCTCAGGAAACCCTGTGAGGGAGGTTAAGTCTCACTTTCCAGTTGAGGAAATAGGCTCAAGGTTAGACCACAGGCCCAAGGTCGTGCAGGGTGAGTGTTCAAGCTGGGATTTGTGCTAGAATCAGAGCACCCTGGCGCATGGAGTATCACTGGTACCAACTGACTTGGGTCAGGTGTCCTGGGCCCAAGATTAGGGGTTCTGGCGGGAAATGGGGTGGAGTATGGCCTCAGTGACCCTGTCCTGGATCCTGGCAGGAGCAGCCCACCAAGCTATCCTGGAGATGATCCCTAGAGAGCCCAGAAGAAGAACAGCAGGGGCAGGGTAGTGTGCCTGTCGGGGAGGGGCTCCAGGGCCAGGGGCTGGAGGCCTTGAAAGGAGGCCTTCCTCTTGCAGCCCTGCCTCCTGTTGCCACAGTACCTGAACCCTCCCCCAGAAGTGACTGGTAGGAGGGGGCCCGGAGACCTGGGTGCAGGATGGATTTGGGGGTAGGGAGGGACCTGGGACCACAGATCCTGTGACTTGTCAAAGGAGGCCCTGGGTGGTGATTAGGAGCAATCTGGTGTTCTTGGGGGGCGAGGGAGGGGGATTGAAGGGAGGCTGCTCCACATGGGAACCCTGGGGTGGGCCAGGAGGCTGAGGGTGAGGAGTTTTCAGGGGAGGGTATCAGGGCAGCACCTGAAAATTGGGGCTCATCACCATTCCCACCCCAGTGGCACAGGGTGTCATCCTATTCCTTGGCACGCTCCTCACTGACCTGGTGACGCTGGACACTGCGATAGGGGATTAGCTGGAGGTCAGTCTGGGGGCAGGAGAGCGGGCACCAGGATCCTGAGACTTGGTAGACGAGAGCGCCCCCTCCCTCCCCTGTACTGGGGACCCTCTCAGCTGCCTGTGTGAGCTGGGGCGTCATGCCCATCTTGAGGGCGAATGAACGGAGGCTCCCCATAGACACCCATCCCAGTTCCCAGGCTGCGAAGCAGCAGAGCTGCCTGAACGCAAAGGTGCAGGAGGTTTTGTCCGAGATGGCTCGGCCTCTCCCTCAGGCGATGCCCACAGTGGAGAGAAGTGTCAGGGTCCTCCAAGTCGGGTGGCACTTAAGTTGCAGAGTTGTCCCTTCCTGGCTGAGGCCTCAGTCCCCCACCTGTCATCAGAAAGACTTGGGCTAGAAGAGCCTCAGCTCCCACCTCCCCCCAACTTTGGAACCCAGAGTCGGGCCTAGATCCCATACCTGCTTTCTGTGTGTGCCCTACCCCCTTGAGGGCTCTTGTGGAACTGCAACATGAGAAAGAGGGAAGATGGGGGACTAGTGATGGACTAGCTAGGAGGCTCTTTCTGGTGGACCTTGGCTGTTTGCCTCCCGAGGGAATCAGATCACCCTCCAGAAAAAGAGTAAGGCGAGTAGCTGTGGCACTCACTGCGGAGAGGGAAGTGGAACGCCCCTGGGCAGGACACTCCATGCTCCATCCCCTGCGCTTCACATTTATTGGGAGAGTTTGAGAGCAGAGAAGTAGGGACTGGTATCAAGGACAACGTGCTGGAAGAGGGGCTCTTCACACCCATCCCTGAGAACAGTTAGGACCTGGGTGGAATTGGAGGGAAGGAGGGTTCCCATGTGTGAGGAGGCCCAGGCCTGGCCCCCTGCCTTAGTCCTCATTCCTAAGGCACCTGCAGCATCCCCCCACCATGCCCTACCTGCAGCCTGTCTTGCCCTCTGTCCCTGAATACGAAGTAATGAGGGAGATCTGCTGCTGCAGGGGGCTGCAAATTGTTAAAATCTTGAACCTGAGGAGCGATTTGGGGCCTGGGTCCAGGATATGGAGCAGCTCAGCAGATTGAGAGGTAAGGCTGGGCGGGAGTTAGATGAGGGCAGGTACAGACTCTCCCTGGTGGCCATGGCTCCCTTATCAGCTCCAGACCTTGTGGCAAGGCCACCCTGGGGCATCTGGACTCCAGCTACTGGGCAGACACTGGGAGGCACACCTGAGGTGTGGCACAGGTACTGCTCCGTCCTGTAGCTACACCTTGTCCTGCCAGCTGCAGCCCCAGTCCTAGTCGGCCAATGGAACACTCAAGGCTCAGAGGAACTGGCCACCAGTGAGCTCAGGGGTGAGTGTCCAGGCTGACAGTGGCTGAACCCCAAGGGCTCCGTAAAGCTTTGGGCCAAGTGTGGTCTTGAGGAGTCAGGTCCCAGCTACTGACCAATTCTGTGCCTGAGGTGGGCCACTTCCACTTTCTAGGACTCAGTTTTCTCCTCTGTGAAATGGGTGGTGCTAAATGATCGCTCACATGGCAGGGACACATGGGGTACTGACTGATCAAGCACTCAGCACAGTGCCTGAATCAGAATGAGTGGGGACAGGGTGGTGAAGGTGGGCCATGAGCCTGGGGGATGCCCCCCAAGGTAATCCCTCTCTTCCATCCAGCCGGAAAAGAACACCCAATTGAGAGTCCTAGAGGGCTCTCCTCCTTGCTGGGAGGTGTTGCCGTCACGCCCTCTTGTGGACATTCTGAGACCAGCACCCTGGTAAGGGAGCCTTCTAGGTTTAGCAATAGGGTTTTCTCCTCAGACTGGCAGATTCCTTACTAGAGTGCTGTTCTCAATATTATTAAAATCCATTTCCTTTTACAGCTGAGAGCTGAGGTTTGGTTCTTTAGCTTCCTGTGCTAATTTAAATTATTTCAGATTCTCACATTCCTCCTCTAACTAAAATATCTCGCAGGGCCTTTAGAGTATTGTATATGGGAGAAGGGAGAACGGCCAGCCCCTTCCCTGGCTATGAAGGAGATCCTCCGGGCCCCCTTCCTCAGAGAACACATTTCATTATCATGAATAAGGAGCAGACACAGCCCCTCAGAACTCCTGGGATCCAGAGGTTGAACTTCTTTACAGGCATAGCAACAACCACTGACACGTGGGCATCTTTAAAAATAACACTTGCCTGGAGTGCGTCCTGTCCCAGGACAGTGGCTTCCTTTCTACAACTCTGAAGAAAGAGGGAACACGTTCTTCATCTCTTGCTGAGGTTTCTCTGGGCCAAATATTAGGAACTTGTGGTTTTCTAGTCCAGTCTCTAGAATTGCATCAGCACTAAGTAGGGAAAGAAATGTAAAGAGATTGGACACTGCGTGTGGAAGGGACAAGGCCAGAGGAAGATAATTTGCAAATGAACTAAGGGCAGGCAGGACTTTCCCTCCTGAGTCCCCCCTCTAAGGACCCAGTGATCAGCCTTTATCTAGATTTGAATCCCCGGGATCCTTGTCCATGATCTCTGAATTCCCTTTCCTGCTTGTTTCACAGCCAGGGGAAAGATGACAGCGGGGCCGCGTTCCATGAGCATGTAGCTACCTGTGAACTAAGATGTCCTAGGAATCCCCGAGAGGCCCCAGCCTCTCTCTCGGGGACATTGTGGCTGAGACCTGGCTGGGACCTGATGGATGAGCTCTGCTCTGCCAGGATAAGGGTCCATGTACTTGGCCATGGAAAGACCCCCACACTCTCCCTCACTCGTCAAGGTGACTTCTGGAGGCAAGTCTACCAACAGGCCTGGAAGCAGACAGAGCTGCTGGGTGCAGATCCTGAGGAGGGTCCGTAGTAATCTCCAAGGCAACTACCTCAGGGGAGACCACGGCCGGCCCCTTCTTCACGGAGCTGCGCATCCTGAGGCGGGCAGACATTAATCAGATCACCACCAAGTTAAGGTGACAGGTATTTATTGAGAGTTGAGGGTAAATCAGGCATTAACTTAGGAGTGTTTGGATTAACTCATTTCATCCCCCAAATAATTTTGGGTATTGTAGGTATTAGCCCTTTTCTATGTGAGGAAAAGCACAGAAAGACAATGTAATTTAGCCAATGCCACACGGCTAAGAAGCCATGATGTGGGGATCCCAGCAGCCCGAGTGCCCGTTTTCCCAGCTTCTAAACGCAGAATGACAAAGCTTGGTTGTGGGGATTAAGAGATAAGTCCAGCAAACACCTAGCAACAGGACTGGGTTCACAATGGGTGCTCAGTAATGATTCCTGAAGTTCAATGGCTCTGGGAGGTGGACAGGGACCTCCCTCACCCTGTTGGGAGTCCTCCTGGCACTTGCACTGTGAATGGTCGGACTTTGTACAGACCCTGGGCCATCAGAGACCTCGTGCTTGGGTGTGAAGGATCTGGGTAAGTCCCAGGCCCTCTGCACAGAGAGGAATGTCCAGGCTTCCAGCGTGGCCACGTCTGGGCCTCCCTGGAGGGTCTAACAGTCCCCTACGTCCTGCACTGCAGGCACCGGAGGGCTCACCCTCGTCAAACGCACCTGCTCTCGCGGCTGTGCTCTTATCGTCCCCCACCTAGAATGCCTGCACGCCCACCTCTGCCTCCCCAGGAAGGTGGCTTTCCCAGGGGATCCCCTTGCCAGAGAGAATGTGTACATCTCTGTGACCAAGGCCCAGTCGTCCCGGCAGGGAGAACTCAGTGTGTGCCTGCTCCCGCTACCAGATGGGAGGCTGGACCACAGGTTTCCTTCTCTCTCACCACGGTAAGGCCTGGAAAGGAGGAAGCAATGAGGGCCCTGTTTGAATTAAGGCCGTACTTTCTCCCAGAGAAAAACGATCAGGCGGTTAAACTATCCTGATAAGGAAGGTTTACCACCTTCCTCAGTGACACAAAGCTCTGCCCTGTGGTCACACTAAGTGCGTCTCAACACGGAACTCCCCAAGGGTGTCTCCCAACCGTGGGGAGGAGAAATCATGACTGGACAAAGTTTGTTCAACGGAGTTTCTCTTTCGTGCTTGGTCTTGTTACTAGAGGAGTGAATTAGCCCTGAGCCTTCATCGTTCCGCCCAGATGATACCCTGAGGGGCCACTGCCACGCGCCATCTATGTGGACAGTGGCTGGGCGTGCCATCGCTCTGGGGGGCAGCTGCTGGGCAGCCGTCATCCGGGCGTGGCGAGGAGCGGTGCCGGAGGCCACGTCAGCTCTCCGAGCACGTCAGCAGGATCTGGGTGAACTCCTGGGAGCCGTGGTCTGGTTTTGACTTTCTGAGCATGCCCAGTCTGGGGTTGTTGATCAGGGTCTGCAGCAGGCGCCACCTTGTCCTGGGCCTCGCCGAGGTGCGGGGACCTAGGAGAGAATCAGAGCAGGTGGCCTGGGGGCGGGGGCGGGGGAGGGGGTAGCTGTCTCTGTGCTTCTCCGAGGCTAAAGAAAAACTGTATGTGAGGTGTGAGGTGTGAGGTGTGGGATACAAGTGGGGCAAGGAGCTGGACCAGGCGTCCTGGGGACATGCGGGGGGGTGGAAGGATGCATTTATCCCACAGAGCTGGGTGTCTGCAGTGCTGGGAACAGTGATGAGTGCAGTTCAGATCGGTGCTGACAAGACAAGATGACCTAGGGTTTCCCAGCAGCAGGCGGAGCAGAGGAATCAGGTGGGAGAGTTGGGAGTAGACAGCATAGAGCAGGGGTGGGCAAACTTTTTGACTCGAGGGCCACAATGGGTTCTTAAACTGGACCGGAGGGCCGGAACAAAAGCATGGATGGAGTGTTTGTGTGAACTAATATAAATTCAAAGTAAACATCATTACATAAAAGGGTACGGTCTTTTTTTTTTTTTTTTTTAGTTTTATTCATTTCAAACGGGCCGGATCCGGCCCGCGGGCCGTAGTTTGCCCACGGCTGGCATAGAGCCTTGAGGGGCAGGAGTTGGTGGCTGAATGCCCTCTTGGAGGCCATCTGGCTGAAGGCTGGGATATGCGTGGAGTCTCAAACATATGGGGGGGGGTTGGACTCAGCAGAACTAGAGCTTGTTTTGAGGAACAGGGAGGAGCCAGCTAGAAGGACAAGGACATAAGGCCTCAGGGGCCCCATAGCCAGGCTGACTAGGGGCTAACCCTCCTGATCCTGAGTGGATTTCCTGAGTGGATTTCCCAGGGCAGGGAGTGTGGAGGAAGGCAGGCAGGGAAGGGGAACCTGCGACATCTCAGGGATCCCAGAAAACGTTAGGGTACTTGTTTCCCGGTGTCTAAGCACAGGGAAGGTTCAAACAGGAGACTCACCTGCTGACTGACGCAGGTGCTCACATCTGATGGCCTGCTGCAGCTTCCTCTCCCTCAGGCCTGTGAGCAGGATGTGACAGAAGCTGACGAGCACGGGGTTGGTGTGATAATGGTCCACATAGAGCATGCCAACCCATGCACTGAACCCTGAAACCCACAAGGCAAGTCAGGCCCTGGGGCCCATCGCAGGGTGGCCCAGGGGGTGCTTTTTATGACATGACTGCAGCATCACTTCGCTCCTAAATGGTGCCCGTGTCTTTGCCGAGAATCTAGAAAACTGGGTATAAAGAGCCGAAAGGGCCCTTACAGCACATTCTACTGTAATCCGTCCATGTAATGTGGAACTTGGGGCTCCTTTAATGAACAGATGAGTGAATGAATGGACACAGGCCAGAAACAGAACAAAAGCTATTTTCACTCTACAGAAATGGTTTTGATTTTGGAGTATTTCAACTGGACAGACCAATTTCTTATCTAAGTAAGTTTCCAAATAGCATCACCAGTGATATTTCTCAAAGTTTTCAGAGTCGAGCAGTCACAACTCGCCTCCTAACCAGTTAGAGGGAACTGGGCTACCTCCCACTGCCTGCCATTATCCCTCAAAGCTGTCAGCTGCACAGACATTCGATAGCCTGCATTCCCTTCTCCCCATTGGGCTGAATGTTTTGGGTGTGTTTGTTTTTTTCCTACTCAGCTTTACAGCCTCCCTGGGAAGATAAGCTCTGAGCAGAAGTGAGGCGTGAACCCTAGGCCCCTGGTACCCAACCTCCAGGTGGCTTCTACAAAGGTGGGAGTCCAGCCCTCCCCCAACAGGTGGCCATAGGGGGTGGGGGGTAGGAGGTGGGGCTGGCCACTGACCCATGTCGGCTCCCTCGTAGCCGTTCTGCATGATGGTCCTGTCGATGCGGGCAATCAGCCATGTGCCCAGGATGCAGCTGATGAGAAGCCTGGAGAGGCAGGCGCCCAGGCCCAGCAGCACGTTGTAGAAGAACAGAAAGTAGTTGAAGTTGTGGAACATTTTCCTGTGAATGGAAGGAAGCAGGTGGAGGGGCGGCACCCTTTCAGTGTGAGAAGCTGGCCAGGCAGGCGGGCTCAGGGGCCCTTGACCATTGGCCAAATCCTACACTTCCTGGCTGCGAGCTGTGTGACCTTCTGCTGTACATGTGAGCTGACTGTGCCCACCGCCCAGCGCTGGTGTGAGGACTGGCTCAGCTGTAACATAGAGGGCTCTGAGCGGAGGGCAGGACGAGTGCTAGTAGCGACTGCAATGTCTGATGGGACCCTTGGGTTCTGAGGTTTCCTGAACAATGAGAAATCTCCTGTGGCCGCAGCTGGTTGTGTGGTTACACAGAGGCTGTGGCTTCCCCATTGTCTGTTGCAACAGCGACCTGCCCCGAGCTGGGACTGCTCCGAGTTCTCCAGATAAAATTTCCCAAATGACCACTTGATCATGGGGTCTCCTGCTGCCTATGGGATAAGCGCAAACTTTGCATGTTGAATTTCTGGGCCGTCCTCAAAAGGGGCCTTTCTGGCATTGGCACATCGTGCCCCCTCCCTCCCCTCACCACCCAGGGCCACTGCACGGCCATCACATTTGATTCTTACTGTTCTGACACATCCTGCCCTTTCATGGCCTCCTGCCTTCATGGTGCAGTGGGGGATGCCAGCCATGCCCTCTCCTCAGCTCTACCTGTAGGCATCCCACCATCCTATCAACTTTAGCTCAAACGTCCCCTACAGTGGAATTAACCACTCCTGCCTCTCTTCTACCACCCTGCCTCTCCTGTTTCTCTTGGGATCCTTTCACGCCCTCTGTCTGGAGTCTACTGTCCCTATATCTGTGTCTGTCAGCCCCAGCGGACCCTGCGCTTCTCATAGGCAGGTCCTGTGGGGATATCTCTTTATGCTCAGTGCCTATGCTGTTTCCTTCACCATGAATGGCTTTGAATAAGTAAATTAGAAAGGATTACCACTGGCCAGCACTATTGTTCCAGTTCATATTTGAACACAGCTCATCCTCAGAACACAAATGCACGATTTTGACATTCATAGATGTTTAGCAAGGTCATGCAAGGTCACGTAGCTCATAATGGGTGGAGCCAAGATGTGGAACCAGAGAGTCTGGCTCCAGAGTCTACTCCTCAACCACAGCTTCTCACTCTATAAGCGAGGGTAGAGTTTGCCCACAAACCTGCCAGCGGTGAAGAGGAAGGAATAAGATTGCTGAGACCAAAGTCCTATAGTCACCATTCCCTTCTTTGCCCTCACCTGTTGTTGAGCGCCAAGGGCTTCTGCTTGTCAGCTGTGCCCATCTTGGGTTGCAGGAAGAAGCTGGCAGCGATCCATACCTGCAGGATCATGAGACCCAGGACGATGGATATGGTGAGGCTGAAACACAGGGTGAGACCATCCTAGGTGGCCTTGTCCACTCTTCTCCAGCCCTTCTCAAATGCCCAGTGGTAAGTGCCCAGTGAGATGCTGCCAGCCCGCCAGACCAACAGTAGCAATGAGCTCTGTGCTTTATGCCTACAGAGCATTCCAGGTCCATTCTGCGGTGAGAAAATTGAGGCTCCCAAAGGGGCGATCATTTTCTTAAAGCCACATGGTCAGAGTTCTAGCTCTAGACCAGACCTTCAGGATCCAGGCATGGCGACTGGGACGAGTGGTTTAGCAGCATGGGAATCAAGGAAAGGAATGGGGCTCATGAAGGCCACGCGAGAGTGGACAGGGCAGGCTCTGCACCAGACTCATGGGCGCCTCTAGGTGAGCCTGGAAGCAAGGAGCTCAGAGCAGGGGGTGTCCAGGGAGCACCACAGCCTGTGTTTGCACCCCCTGAGCGGCAGTGTGAGCCAGTGGCTCAATGAGGCTTTGGTTTTAGGTTGCCAGGCTCCCAGTCTTGCTTATCAGTGGACAAGATGCTTCACATCTCTGTGCCTCTGTAAAAGAGGGAGCTAAAGAAGTCCCAACCTCCACGAGTTCTTAGGAGAAAAAGCACACAGTGAATTCTCAATGGCAGCACTCACTTTTATCTTCCATACGGGGAAACTGAGGCTCAGAGAAGCAACCTACCCAAGTCATCTAGCTGATTTAAAACCCAAGCACAGATCCCTCTCTCCTTCTACTACACTGTCCTATCTCTCACTTCACCTCCTCTCCTCTGAACCTTCCCAGATATCGAACGGACACATGCATATCTGCCACAGACACCACTGGACGGACCCCGCTGAACAAGAATGGCAATATTTTGTAAATTGTAAGGTTCCTATTGCGATGTGTTGCTCTTCTGGCCCATGCTTTGATCAGACCTAAGAGCGCAGTTCCAGGGAGTGATGGGAGCTTAGCAGGAAAGGGGCATTTTGAGCAGCAGCTGCGAGGGCCCACCAGCTCCCAGGCCTGGGCAATGCCAGGAAGCCCACCGAGCACTTACATTCCAATGCCCAGTCCTTGGAGCATCTCCAGGCCCTGGTTGTGGGTGATGGGCAACACCAGGCTGTACATGATCGCCATGCCACACAGGCTCTGCACCACGTGGATACTGAGGTAGCCTGTGGGCCGAGGGAGCCGGCGGTCACTCAAGGCACTTCGTGACCCAGTCACCTGTGTTCCTGTCTGCAGCCCTGATCCATCCTCCTGCCACCAAAGGTCCTGACACTTCTGTCTGTGCTGTTTCTTCTGCCTGGCATGCCCTCATTTTTCTTCCTGTTGACCTTCTGCTCACCCTGCCAGGTGTGGTTCAAATGCCAACTCCACTAGGATGCACTCAAGCCCTGCCCAGGGTGTGCAGTCACTTCCTCCTGTGGATCACCACCGCCCTTGGCATACACACCCTGTGGGCTCAGGACAGGTGGGGGTGATGATCTATAGGACTGTGTGACTCTCCCTCCTTCCTGAAGGTCCCTCACAGGCAGGAGCTAGGGCTGCTCCTGCCTCGCCTCTCTCCTCCCTGCCTACCCTCAGGCTCCGCAGGTGCCCAGGTAATGTGTGTTGAATTGAATGGGTCGCATGATGGCACTTACCCCACAAAATGTAGGCTATCTGCCAGCCAGAGTACCTTGCAATGGCCGCCTGGGATTTAAAAAGAAAATGGGTCCCAGAGGGGAGAAAACCTTGATCACCTCGGACATGTGTCCAGCATCCCTGTCTCACTGGAGATTCATCCACCAACCCACTGAGGCATCTGACTGTCCTCATTTCACAGCTGAGGAACCGCATGATGAGAACCACTGTCCCATCACCCAGCAGCAGAGCATCCTAGAATGAGGCCTCTGGCTGCCACCCAGGGCTCCCCCACACCACGCTGCCCCTGTCCAAGGTGCAGGAGACAGGTCTCCGCAGACTTACCACACTCCCTGAGGAGGAAGGGTTACGGAACTTCAGAGGGAGAAAGTGTTTATTTCCTGCCCACAACCTCTTCACGTGCTTTCTAGAGAAAAGGCGGCAAATTAGTCATGTTCATAACCACAACTCCTCAGGCATGCAGAGCTCAACAGATACAAACAGAAGGGCCTGTGGAGGGAGACGGTGGGCAGCTTAGCCTCTACTATTGACCATAGTTCATGCGATGGTTCTGATTAGCCTTAAAAATCTAAAGTTTAATACATTTTATTAAAATAATATACAGTTACCTAGTCTTCATGATGCTATTTGAGACCATGTATGTGGCTTTTATTTTCTTCATTTTGCTCTACTTTTTGTATTTTTTCTACAGTGACTATAAATCATTTATGTAATAATACTTTAAAACAGATGAGAACAGGAAGCCATTTGTAATGATACTCCCAACTTATAACATAAAAGGAAATGAAAAGGGGCAACACCCCTCACAACCCCAGCACCCCAAGAAATCACCGCATCTTTTCCCCGTTGCTAGTCTCGGGCCTGGACCTTTGCATAAAGACTAGGTTGGCAGAGTCAAGTTCATGGTCCAAATTCACATCTGGGTCCTGCTTTTTCAATAACGTTCTATCTCCAGCATTTTCCAGGTGGCTTTGTCATTTCATGACCACTGGATTGGGAAAGCTTGGTATGAAATAGAGAGTGTAAACATTAATAGTGTGTATATTTATTACATGAGGAAGTGATGGTAGTTGGGTTATGTTAGGGTAAGCATTTCGTTAAATCATTTTCACCTTCCTTTTTACTTTATTAGTAGCATCTACTAGGAAATCAAAAATGGCACCTATGGCTTTCACGGTGTTTCTGTCTGGCAGCCCTGGAGCAGAGTGTGCAACCAGGAATACAAACAATGTTTAGCTCAGGGGCAATAAATTGAGGTCTGAATGGAAGAGTTACTTTACACTGAATATTTTCTTGGTAACTTTTTAAAAAAAATAGCTTGTCTGTAAGTTGGAATAATTCTAAGAAAAATAAAAATACTGGCAAAACGCTTCCCAGGTTGTAGGGTGCTTTCTTGTCCATTATTTCCTCTGCTCCATCATCTACAATGGAAGCAGAGCAGGGATCATCACTCCTGGGTGACAGGTGTGGAGAGGGAGCCAGCCGGGGCAGGAATGAGGCCTTCCTAGCACACGTGACTTCTCTTCCCTGTGCTCTCAGTTGCCCTCTGCCCATGTCCATGCAGTCTGCTCTGCACAGTGGTTGTCCCTGGTCATGACCAAATGCCTCAGTGAAAATCTCCCAACGGCTTGAAGATTAAGCACGAAAGGAACAGACATGTCCCTTCATCAGACAAGGTAGGGGACAACATCAGTGTCCAGTCCACCCACAGGGCCCAGGGAGAAGTGAAGCTGTGGCCTCTTCATGCCAAGAGAGTCTTTCTTTTGGATGCCACTGGCAAGAGACTCACCCTGTGGGCAGCCAGATGGTGAGGATGCAAAGGCAGGATATTCTGGGGGGTGGGGGTGGGGCGGAAGATTGGCCCTGAGCTTCCTGTGAGTCAGTATGAGTTAGAGACTGAGACAGAAAGAGAGACAGAGAGAGGCAAAGACAAAGGCAGAGAAACAGAGAGGCCAGAGCTACCTGCATTCAACAGCTATCTGCATGCAAATGCTAGCTAGTATTGAGGGCCAACCCCTCCTCCTGCACTGACTGCGGTCCTTGAGGTTGAGGCCCCTGGTCCACTTGACCCAATTTCCTCTGATGTCTTCTTGAGCCACATTCATCTGCTGATAGCCCGGTGCAATGAATCCTGGAGAGCAGGATGGGTCTGACACCCAAGAGAGTTGCCAAAGTGAACAAGAAATGTCAAGGTCTGGGGTTGGAAGACAGGATCAGCCATTACTTGCTTGGGTGAGGTATTTTGTTGAGTCTCAGTTTTCTCGGCTATAAACATGGAGATGAAAGTACCCTTCAGGGCTGTGGTGAAATGAAGATTCTAGCACAATGTCCAAATCATGGTAGAAGCTCAAGTCAATAGTTTTGGTTTGTTTGTTTACTAACAATAGATGTGGTTGTCCCTGGACCTTGCACACACTCCTGGTTCCACTCCCGGTCACTGCTGGTACTGCTTGGGAATTCTTAGAAAATTCCATCAGATACTTTCCTGACTGGAGACACACAACAGACACCCTGAGCCCTCTTACCTGTAACAAGCCAAAATGTGGAATAGATAGCTCACACACGTGAGGAAGGCAGGAAGAATGGTAACCACCCAGACTCCTGAAACAGAACAGATGACAGGAGAGGCCTCTGAAGGTGCACTAGAAACAGTATTTTCAAAATGCAGAAACTCACATCAGAAAGGTCTGGGTAAAACATATTATACGTCCCTTAACACACTTCTTGTGTAAATACCGTTGTGCTTATATATTTCTGTTTCATTTTTTAGCCACCCACCCCCCCCCCACACACACACACCCTTGAAATACTTTATTTCCTGCACAGTCCTCTCCTTTGCTATTAATATTTTCAACCCATGAATAATGGGAAGAGAAAATTACGGTATATATACATTTTAGGTAGCTTCCATCCTTGTAAAACGTCATTGAACTTCTAATTGCCACTTCTGGGGGATGGGGAGGGGAGATGGTGACCCACCTCCAGTTAAACGGCAACCATGTGCAAGGCTGGCTTTACCTTTGGAGATGTTCATCAGCTCCTTCATCTGCAGGATGACTGGGGTCAGGGTCCCAGTCTGGTTCGCGGAGGCAATGTAGCTCTCTAACTCGCCTTCAAACACATCCAGCTGGTCTCTCACATACACGAACACGCAGAACTCAATGACAATGAACTGGGGACACAGAGCAAATGCTTCAAGGTCTCACCCGACTCCAGCTTTTGCCCAGTATGTGAATAACTATGGGTCTCTCTTTGGTTTTGAGGTCAAAACTCTTTGAAGTTCAACACTCATCTGCAATAGACTCTGGACCCTGGCTCTACGGGGGTGAATGGGATTGTGGCTTCCTTGTAGATGGGAGACACCGCAAACTCTGTTCTTCACCCCTCAGCGTACGAGACAAGGTCCCACAGGGCTCAAAGAACTCTTCAAACTTTACTTAAACCAGAGTGAGATAAATGCCTCATGTTGAATAAGGGGTGACCTTGGGGACAATTCCAGTCATATCTCATTGCTCCCCTTCTTGCATCCTAGTGATAACCAAAAAGAAGGTACCATTTCCTATACACACACCATGCTTACTCATCCCTATCATCCTGTCATCATACCACCCTGCTCCCTCATCGTGCCATCCTGCTCCCATCCACTCTGGCCTTGCCATTTTTATTGCTCCACTTTGACCCTGCTTTTGACCCAGTTTACCTTGAATAACTTTGACCACACGAAATGTTTTGATTCTGTGCTTAATAAAAAATTTATTGAGCCCTGACCAGTTTGGCTCAGTCATTAGAGTGTTAGACCGTGGACCAAAGGGTTCAATTCCTGGTCAAGGGCATATAGCTGGGTTACAGGCCCAATCCCTGGCCCCAGTAGGAGTACAGGCGGGAGTTAGCCAATCAGTGTGTCTCTCCACACTGATATTTCTTTCTCTCTCCCACTCCCTTCCACTCTCTCTAAAAAAAAAATCAATGGAAAAAAATATCCTCAGGTGAGGATTAACAACAAAGAAAGTGTAAAGGGGTGTGTGTGTGTGTGTGTGTGTGTGTGTGTGTAAGTGTGTTGAGAAAGCAAAGTTAAATAACAGCCAAATGAAATAAGACATTTCAATTTTTGACCCTTTAAAATAATATAGTACATCAAGTTTGTCCACTTTTATTTTTAATTCAAAAATTATTTGTCAATTATTTTATATTTAAATGACATAATTTTTATTTGGCTAAGTAACAGTGTAGAATAAAAGACCTCAGTGAAGCTGTTTTCCTTAGCTCTGCTGAAATAAAGGTCCCGTAGAACTCACCAGTGAGCCCATCTGGGCCTGCTGCTTTCTTTTTTAAAGGTCATTACTCATTGACTCAAAGTCTTTTAACAGCTTTAGGCCTATTCAGATCGTCCACTTCTTCTTGTTTAAGTTGTGGCAGATCGTATCTTTCAAGGAATTCATCCACTTCACCTAGGTTATCAAATTTGGGGGCACAGAATTGTTCATACGACTCCTTTATTGTTCTTTTAAGCCCATGGAATCTGTAATGATGTTCCCTCTTCCATTTCTAATGTGTCCTCTCTCTGTTTTTGTGTCTGGCTAGCGGCTTGTTGATTTTATTGTTTCAAAGACCTAGCTTTTGGTTTCATTGATTTTCTTTATTAATTTCCTATTTGCAATTTCACAGGTTTCTGCTCTAATTTTTATTCTATCTATCCAGCATGTTTTGTATTTAATTTGCTCTTCCTTTTTAGATTCCTAAGGTAGGAGCTTAGAGATTGATGTAGATCTTTGTTCATTTCTTATATATACATCCAACGTTATAAATTTCCTTCTAAGTACTGCTTTTGCTGCCCCTACACACACATTTTTGATAAGTGTGTTTTCGTTTTCACTTAGTTCATTTCATTTTTTAGTTTATTTTTAACTTCTCTTATTTTTTCTTTGATCCATAGTTACTTGGAAGTATGTTGTTTAATTTCCACTATTTTGGGATTTTCCAGTTATCTTTCTGTTATTTATTTCTAGTTTAATTCCACTGTGGTCTGAAAGCAGAAACTGTGTAATTTATATTCTTTTAAATTTTTTAAGATGTATTTTATGGTCCAAAATTTGGTCTATCTTGGTGAATTGTCCATGTAGTCTTGAGAAAAATGTGTGTTCTACTATTGTTAAGTAGTTGATGAATGTCCAAAATCCCAATTGATTGTTGGTGTCCATTACAGTTCAGATTCCCCTACCTCACACTGATTCCCATGGGGTTTCTGCTCCATTCTGTTGTGTATGTACCTGTCTGTCTCTTCAACTCAGGGGCAATGATTTGCCCCATAACCCACTTCTATGGATCTAAGAAGAGTTGTTGATTTTTTTTTTCAGTTTGTTTAGGTTTTCATTTGTTGTTAGGATGGAATGGCATTTCACAAGCTCTTTACATGTGGAATTAGCAAGTAAAGTCTCCATAAATAATTTGATTATATTTATTAGTAACGCTCACCCCATGGGTAAAAGTGTCCTTGGCGTCAAAACTGTTTAATGTACAGAGGTGAAATTTTGAGCCAGCTGTTTAAGAACAGCTCCTCTCCCAGCCCCACCCCATTTGCAAAGTAGAAAAGGATGTGCTCGGATCTACTTACGAGATACAGGCAGATGGAAGCCAACACGGCGGTTCCGATCATTCTGCTTGGGAACTGGAAGCAGGGGTCCCACTCGTAGATCCTGCTTTGAAACCAAGACTTTTTTTTCTCTCTGTTAATGAGTAAACACCAAGAAAAGACAGGTTGTGGTTGGTAAACAAATGCCTAATTCTTCTAAAAATAACCTCGTTACCCCTCTTCATCTTAGATTTCAGTGAAGAGCAAAAACACTGGTAGATTCTACAGTTTCTATTCGCCCCTTATTCTTAAGAACAGAGACTGGGTTCTGTCTGGTGCAGCAAGTCACCAAACTGAAAGGCTAGAGTTTCTGACCTCTCTTACCTGTAAGAGTGACCAAGACTAAGTACAGGGCAATTAGTGACCAGAGGGGTGGGGTGGGACTTTGGGGAGGGTGGTTAGATAGAATCAACGCTGCAGAAGGGGCCCCACAGCCTTTCCTTCTTTTCTCCTGCCTGCCATCTGAAATGCTGACATAGTAGCTGATCCAGACTGGAGTCCCGAATCGACCGTGGACCATGGACAGCCTTCATGATGGAAATCACTAAAATACTGAAGCAGGAAAACAGATGATCTTGGTGCCATAGTGAGCAGCAGTCCAGGATCAATATGGACTGCAGCCTCCAGAATTCTTTTAAATACATATATTTTTATTGATTTCAGAGAAGAACGGAGAGGGAGAGATAGAAACATCAATGATGAGAGAGAATCACTGTTCGGCTGCCTACTGCATGCCCCCAACTGGGGATTGAGCCCCAATCCTGGCATGTGCCCTTGACCGGAATTGGACCCGGGACCCTTCAGTCCGCAGGACCCTTCTACCCACTGAGCCAAACTGGTTAGGGCCAGAATTCTTTTATATGAGAAATAAATCTCTCCCATTTGTGCCACTATTATTTTGTACTAGAGAGTCGGTGCACAAGAATCATGCACTAGGGGCAGGGGGAGCCCAGCCCCCACCCTCTCACAGTCCAGGAGCCCTTGGGGGATGTCTGACTGACGGCGTAGGCCCACTCTGGCTTCTGGCTGAGTGGCGATCCCCCTGTGGGAGTGCACTGACCACCAGGGGGCAGCTCCTGCGTCTACCCCTTGGTGGTCAGTGAGAGCCATAGTGACCAGTCATTCCACTGTTCAGTTGATTTTTATATTAGCCTTTTATTACATAGGATTATTTGCTATATATAGCCAAGTGTAATTCTAATGCAAGTACTAGTTTTGCCACTGTGTGAGCTTGGATTAGACATGTCCCTTCTCTGAAGCGTATTCTCTTGTACGCAGTGGCAGGGGTAAGGTGACCACTATGATCACTGGAGATCGTGTACTTTTGCCTGGCCAAGAGCTATATCCTCTGTTATTGGTAATGGCATATGAGTTTTTCTCTGAGAATCTACTCCTTTCCCACCATCAGTCCTAATGGGCAAGTGCAGCTGAACCACTTCCTGGGTCCAGTGGTAAACATGTGACCCAGCCTTAACAATCACTTTAGTCCAATCCCCCAGCCACAGTAACTGGTCCTGGAATGGCATTTGGTCCAATCTGACCCAATAAAACACATGCATGGGACTTTGGTTTGAATTATTAGATAGGAAAAATTCTCTTTCATGTGAGCTTAAACCAGGAGGGTATAAGCTTAGAGATTCTGGGGCCCACCTTGGGGAGGAAGCCCATCTAACTAGAAAGCTAAGTCAGATAAAAGCACAGTTAAGAGGAGACGAGGGACAGAGGCCTAGTTCTGCTGGACCTACCTAAGCTTGAAACTGACTACCATTAGACGTTTAAATCATGTAAGGCCACACGTTTCCCTTTTCTCGTTAATCCCATTTGAGTTGAGTTTCTGTCATTAGCAAACAAGAGCCCTGACGAATACAGAAGATTTCCTGTCATCTTAGGGTCTCATGCTGTCAGGGCTCATCCCTGTTGGTGGGAACACCAGTGGTGAATGAGCCAACCCGTGGCTTACTGCAGGGGGGGCTTCCGCAGGAGCTGCTTGACGTGCTCTGCCTGATGGATTTCCAGAAACGGCTTTTCTTCCTGTGAGAAAAGAGAGAGGGAGATGCTCTGGCTCACAAATTCGTGTTGGAGTGTTGGTCTCTTTGAGGGGCTATCACCACAGAGGGTAGGAATTTGGGTAGCACTTGCTTTTTTGGATTCAGCCATTCTCAGACACCTGTTACTTAATGAAGCGAAGAGCAGGGTCCCGTCTCCTGTTTACCAAGCACTCGCTTTCAGGAAGTGCCAGTGGTCTGGCTCCCTTGCCTCCTCTGCTTACTGACTGCACCAGTCACTGCTCTGGAAGTCTTTCTTCTCTTTGAGATTTGGTGATTTCCCATCATAGTGTAAAACACGGTTTAAAATCCCATTGTTTTTACTTTTTATAAATAGAAAGAGTTTCTTTTACTCATTTCTTATTCTGCAGTATTTAAAAAAAACACACACTTTACTGATATGTTTTAAAATGTTTTCTCTGCCTGTCTGGTGTGGCTCAGTGGTTGAAAGTTGACCTATGAACCAGGAAGTCACGGTTTGATTCCCAGTCAGGGCAGATGCCGGTGTTATGGGCTCGATCCCAGCGGGGGCTTGCAGGAGGCAGCCAATCAATGATTCTCTCTCATCATTGAAATTTCGATCTCCCTTCCTCTCTGAAATCAATAACAACAATAATAATTTTTTCTCCGAGTGTAATTAGCTTTTCACAGTACTCATCTATTCTGCTATATATGTTGAATATGTAAATTTTACATGCTATGAGATGAAATCTTAAATACTGCAGATATTAGGTAGAGTACAGAGGATCTGGTTAGAATTTTGACTGGTGAGTGACATCAATGAGATGGAGGAATAGGGGGTTCCAGCCCTCAGGCCACTCTGATACACCTATTTTGACAAATACCCACAGATGAGAGTAACTTTGTAGAAGCCCATGAGTGTACTGGGGAGGTTCCAGAACTCCAGTCAAGCAAAAACTCTGAGAAGAAAGGCACTAAAGAGGGTAAGAACATTTTCAATTTACCAGTGTCACCCACCCTCAAGGAGGCGCAGGTCAGTGCATAGAGAGACCCCCACCTTGGCTTGCAAATTCTCCCATGAGGGAAAGAGTAAAGGTGTAGAGCTTTTCTATGCAATTAAAGTAAGTTGTTATCAACTTAAACTGTTATAATTATAAGATGTTTTATATATGCCGTTTTTATATAGTAATCACAAAGAAAAACCTGTTTTATACAAACAAATGATAAAGAGAAAGGAATCAAAGCATACCACAACAAAAAGACCCACACACATCACATACAAAAAAAGCAAGAAATGAGGACTTACAAAACAGTCAGAAAACTAACAAAATGACAACTGTAAGTCCTTACCTACCAATTTCTTTAAATGTAAATGGATTCAATTCTCCAAGTCAAAAGACACAGAGTGGCTGAATGAACTAAAAAAACAACAACACCCCACACCAATATATGCTACCTTCTAGGGGACTCACTTTAGCTTTAAGGACACACACACGGGCTGAGAGTAAGGGATTGGAAAAAGATATTTCATACAAATGGTAACCAAAACAGAGCAGATGTGGCTATATTTATATGAGATGAAAAAGACTTTAAGTCAAAACTGTCACAAGAGACAAAAAAAAAAATCATTATATAATGATAAAGCGGTCAATTCCTCAAAAGAATATAACAATTGTAAAGATATATGCACCCAACATCACGGCACCTAAGTATATAAAGTAATTATTAATAAAACTGAAGCGATAAATATACAGCAACTTAATAATAGTAGGAAACCTCAACACCCAGCTTTCAACAATAGATAGATGACCCAGAAAGAAAATCAATAAGGAAACCGCTTACTGGAACAGCACTATAGGTCAAAGAGACCAAATAAACATATACAGAACATTCCGCCCAAGAGCAGCAGAAGATATGTTCTTCTCAAGAGCACAGGGCCCATCCTCCAGGAAACGTCACACATTAGGCCACAACACAAGCCTTCACAAGTTCAAGTATCAAGTATCTTTTCTGACCACAACGACATAAAGCGAGCTATCAGTAACAGGAAGAAAACCGGGAAACTCACAAATATGTAGAAGTTAAACAATACATCCCTGAACAACCAACAACCAATGGGTCAAAGAAAAAAATCAAAAAGGGAAATCAAAAAATATCTTAAAAACAAATGAAAATGGAACTACAACAGACCACAACTTATGGGATGCAGCAAGAGCAGTTCTAAGAGGGAAGTTTATAGTGGTAAACGCCTACACCAGGGGTCCTCAAACTACGGCCCGCGGGCCACATGCAAATACAAATATTGTATTTGTTCCCGTTTTGTTTTTTTACTTCAAAATAAGATATGTGCAGTGTGCATAGGAATTTGTTCATAGTGTTTTTTTAAACTATAGTCTGGCCCTCCAATGGTCTGAGGGACAGTGAACTGGCCCCCTGTTTAAAAAGTTTGAGGACTCCTGATCTACACTAACAAAAAGAAAGGTCTCAAACAAACAGCCTAACTCTATACCTGAAGGAATCAGAAAAAGAACAGTGGTTAAGAAAAAGCCTTGACAACCAAACGGTCTGGGTTGCTTTTCTGGCTCTGCCACAGACTGGATACATGATCCTGGGCAACACAACATACTTCTTTGGGCCCAAGTTGCCTGCTACAGAACAGGGGGAGGGGTAATAGCACCTCCCGCATGGACTGTTGTGGAGACCAGACCTGTCAGGACGTGCGCAGTGCTTATACTTAGTACTCACCGTCTGCAGCTCCCAGCCCAGGTAGACCCTCAGAGACTTGACGAACATGTACAGGAAGCGGCCCAGCAGGAAGGACAGGCACAGCAACGAGGGCCAGTAGAACATGACGGTCTCATAGCTCCCCAAAAACTGCAACGAAGCAGACCACTGGTCACTGGATCTAGATGGGGCAGAGCCAGGCCCCTGATGAAGCTGTAGACAGGAACCTGCCTGCCCCAGCCTGCTCCCACCAAAGCCCACTCCCAAAGCTTGGATTCCTGCTCCTCCAGCCCCACATCATTGGAATGAGCAGTGGACTTGGAGTCCAGCAGCCCTGGATGAGTCCAACACCCCCATTTTACTTTGTACAAAGGGATTTGTTCAGATGAGGTGTGAAATGCTCCTTTTGGAAAATATAAGAGAAGGAGAGGGAAAGTAAGGGCGGGGAGGGAGAGAGAGAGAGAGAGAGAGAGAGAGAGAGAGAGAGAGAGAGAGGGCTTTCTCCTTTTCCTGGGGTATGGGACTAAACAGATGAACAGTTGTATCAGTCTCCCATTAATAGACAGGGAAACTGAGGCTACATGAAGGAGTGTAAAGAAATGAGCCCCTGATTCAGCCATTCCTGGTCTCAGTGCCCAGATCTGCTGCTTCTTAAGAGTTACTCCATATCCTTCAGATTCCTCACCTATAAAACAGGTTTGTTGAGAGCTTCCCCACCTTGAGGGGCTGCTATGGGCATTGACTGAGAGAATCTCTCTCTGAAGTAGTACCTTGATGAACATAAGATACCATACAATGGAAGCAGCATGAATGGTTCCAACTCCCTTTTGTACACAGGAGAAATCGGAGGCCCATAGAATGACAGAAGCTTGTTCAAAGTCACACAGGACTCACCTGCCCATGGGGACACTGTATGATGTGAAGAATGGTGACAGCAAACCTGCCAGAGAGAAGCAGGACTTGGGGTACTTCCAGCCCCGGCGACAACAGCCCAGATCGCCCCAGCCTGAAGTTACCTCCTTGGCAGGACTGGTTTCCAGGCCTCTGTGTATGCCCCACCCAGATCAGGCACCCTGCTTGTGCCTAAGAACATGCAACAAAATTCATTTAATGCCCTCAACTCGGACACAATCCCAGAATCCACAGCGGCCGAGCAGGAGGACCCTGAGCGGTCCCCCCATCCCTCCCCTTCACTCAGGTAGGGAAACTGAAGCCCAGAGATGGGAAGGGATTTGTCCAGAGTCACACCAGAGCCAGGACCAAGACCCAGGTCTCCTGACTCTGGGGCTGAGGCTCTGTCTGCCTGTAAACACCGCCCTGAGGAATGAGCCTCAAAGCTTTGCTCCTGCTGAACACACATTCCTGGTCATGTCCAAGCTTGGGTCTTCCTCCCATGGTGTCCAAGCTGCGGCGTGACTCCTGCCACCCTGTCCTCTCCTGGTCAAAGAGTCTGTCATAGGCTGAGACGTTACTCTTCAGCTAACACTGAATATCCTCTCTTGTAATTTTTTTAAAAAAGCAAGCCTCTTATACACTCTGGAATTGCAGTCACTTGTCAGCCCCCTGCATGCTTCAGACACTGGGCCTGGAACCCCTGCCCTAAAATGCTATGAGGGAGGCAGGCCCCATAAGGAGAAGTGGACAAGGAAATGAGCCTAGCAGGACTAGAGTGTGGAACTGCCCAGGGGATGATTCAGTGAGCAAACATTCCCTGGGGCCAGGTCTGCTGTTCCAGTGCCGAGGGCACAGAGCAGATAGAAGGGTCAGGAAGCTCCCACTGTGGTGGCAACAAAGGACGAGCACATGTCCCTCCCTGGGCCGGGGAAGAGAAACACGGAGACAAGGCGGCCAGAACACGTGATCACCAGGGGGTTGTCTCGTTTTCCGGCATGTTCCCTGGCTCGTCGAGTTTGCTGAATGAGTAAGAGGATGGATAAAGGAATGCAGGCGTTCTATATGACCTGCATACATGCCAGAGACTGGTTAGGGGGTAGGAGAGAGACAGGAGAGAGACTGAGGCACCTGCACTTTCTCCAGGGAAGCCACAGCACAGGGAAGCAGCGTCCACACGACACTCCTGCTGCCACCAGTGGGACCCTCGTGGTTTATGGAAATGAATTTTTCTACATCTCTGAAAACTGGGAATGTGTGAATCATGAATGGCCGCTTGCGAAGCAGACAAAATGCTGGCCTGACAGTGGGACTGTGGACCAGTCATTCCACCTGCCCTGGGCCTAAGTTCTGAGCAAAGGTACCCTCCCAAGGAGGGCTCTGAGGTCACCACCAGCCCTTTGTCCAGGGTTCAGCAACGGCCTAAGGAATTGTGGGAGGGCAGGCAGGCAGGGTCTGTCTTACCAGATCAGAGAGTAGAGGAAGCCCAGGATGGAGCTGACCAGCTGGAACTCCGAGGAGAGGCAGGCAAAGAAGGGGAAGTGGGACAGGCCGACTTCGAAGCCTCCAATCAGAAGCACAAAGGCTGGGAAAGACAGGGCCGGAGATGCTGTGAATGCCTCTTCTCACGGGCTCAGGGGAGCCCCAGGGAAGCTAAGGGCTTTGTGCTGACTTGCCGTCATGGACCTCAGGACCCAAGGAGATGAGTGGAGGAGCCCCAGCTTAGCACAAGGAGGAATGCAGGAATGTCTGTCATTCCTTCATGCAACAGACCCTCCTGGTACCTCTCCCATGCCAGGCACTGGGCTAACTGTTGAGGTGAAGAAGACTTGCTCCCTACCCTTGATTAGCTCACAGTAAAGTGGGTGGAAACAGACCACATCAACGAACACACAAGAATCACCGAGAGAAAACTGATTGGACAGAGACGTTTGAATGTTGTCCTATTAGGGATGGTTGAACCTGTAGATCAAAGTTGCCACTTCAGGGGGAGCATGAGACATGGAGAATGAAGAGGCCCCAGACCAACGGCCAAAGATGATCTGCTCTTTGAGGAAGGATCTGAGGGCCTATTGATAGTAAGAAGGCAGCCATGACTATGGCTCAGGAGGGATTTTCAGGGTGGGTGGTGGTGAACCTACTTTCTGAGCCTTTGCTCCACTCTGTCTGAAGAACCTCTGCCTCTAACTAGGAGAACGCCCCACACATAAGCTTTGAGACTCTGTGGGCTAGGCACTGATGCCGGACAAGTAACAGGCTGGGAAGAACCCCGAGTTCACTCACAGAGCTTACCCTCTGACCCCAGAGAACCCCTGCATGCTGTCTCTGAGAGCAAGAATGTCCATGGTTAAACTCCCAGCAGCTATGAGGCGGCCCTGGTACCTTGGGCCCACTGCGGGATCTGCAGGAGCTGGGAGCCTTCTGAGAACAGGAACATGACCTTATTGGCTGTGGCTCCGAAGGCAATTCCGTAGGACCATCGGTTACGAAAGGTGCCCACGAAGTCCAGAGGTCTGTGAACAAGAGAAATAGTTCATGAGGCCAGAAGGTGGCTCTGAGACATCCCACACTTCATCTCCAAAGTTCCAATCCCACCTTGAGGATGAATGATTGGGGAGTGAACTATTCATTTTAGATGACATTTTCTTAAGCCCTCTGTGCCAATTCTGGGGCTAAGCAGGGATTCAGGGTACTGAAGTGAGGAAGACAAAATTCTTTAAAAAAATTTTTTTATTGTTGACAGTACTATTACAGATGTCTCCTATTTCTCCCCCTTCTACCCCCTCTGCCCAGCCTCTAACATTCCGCCCCCCCGCAACCACCCCCGCCTTCACCACACTATTGTCTGTGTCCATGGGCTATGCATGTAAGTATATAAGTTCTTTGGTTTATCTCAGGAAGACAAAATTTCTTCCCTTATCTAGGAGGAGACAAGCAAGGATACCAGTAGCCATGACAACAAGCAAAATGGGATGAGTTTCATCTATGCGAACACAAGTACTATGACTCAAGAGACCACAACAAGGAGTATGTCCCAGACAGGCGTGGGAGAGGCTGCCAGGCATCCAGCCAAGGTCTATGAAAGTTCTTCTTCTTGGTGTCCCTGGGAAGGTCTGGGTATCATTGGCTGTGCTAGTTCTACGTGATCACGCCTTTCCTAGCTACAGCTGATTGGACTATGGGTGACCACCTGCCTTTAGAGGGGCCAATCAGATGTCTGGTCTTAAATTTCAGATTTGTGGCCCTGAGGACATGAGCCAATCAGCTGTCAATATTCTGTTGGCATCATGCTCGAGGCAAGCTGAGGTTTTAGGGAAGCAGAGATCCTGCCAGGTGGCAAGGAAGAAAATGGTAAACGGTGCTGAGCGCGCCACAGTGACACAGAGAGGCAGACACAGAGAGAATCGTCTCCCAGAGATGCCCATCTCCAGAGCCCCGGTTCCCATGAGTCCAGCCTTGCAGCGAGACCTCTGTAACTTCATAAAAAATCCTGTCCTCATTTTATGTAAACAAGCTATTAAATATCCATTTCCCCTAATCACAGGAGACCAGCTGACGTCAGAGTAAGCAATTGCAACCGGATAGGAGAGCGAAGGCTTTCCCAGCAGAGTGTCGCTTAAGGCAGGCCTCAGTGACACCTCAGGGTGGTGTGAAGAGCCTGAGCCATCTGCCCTCTCACCTTCACCTCCACCTCCAAGGATCAGCTCACGAAGCACCTCTTCTTTGACGCCTCCCTGGCCACCCACTGCCAGTCAGGCACATCCAGTGTCCCCTCAGTCGTAAGTTCATGTCCGGTTTCCCACACCTCCCTTTGTGTTATCACTTGTTTCGTAAAACATAAATGCCTCCAGGGTGGAGACCTAGCACAGGACCTTGATACGAGGTGCTCACTGCACATGCGTGGACACGCACTTGGTTGCACTGAGTTGGATTTGAATCCATCTCACCTGTAGTGCGTGGGAGCTCTGTGAGACTCTGTTTCCCTATCTCTCAAGCAGAGATGGAACCCCCTGCTCTGCTGTATCACTAAGACACTCTGGGCAGCAAATGAAGAACTGCCTGATAACTGTGGAGTGTCACACACATGTGAGGGCTGATTAATGAGTGAGGACGGTGAGCCAAAACTACTCAGAAAATCAGAGGTTTTGATGGGAAAGTGGCCATGGAGTAAGTGAACTGTACCATTAACAATTTAATTCAAAACTGTTCAATGTGATCCATATAGAGAACCTACCTTCTAAAGAGTTCTGCACCAGGCCCTACAGGCCAAATGTTCAGGGCAGAGTCTGAAGATCTTCTTTACCCACCAGCCTTGGCCTTTCTCTGTGCCCCAACCAATGTGACTTAGACTTGGCATCCTGAGATGGGCTGACTGCTCCAATGGGTGGTATCCAGAATGAACTTGCTACTCTGTGCTGGCATACAGGGTCCTTGGACATTGCAGTTAGATTTCTCTCTCCCTGAAGCCCAAGTCTTCTCTAGCCTCGGTCCTGACATCCTGGTCTCCTCTCCCTTCCCCAGAGGCCAAAGCTAAGGTCTCGGCATGTCCACATGCTTGAGCCTGCTTAGGTTATGACACTGGGGGAATTAGAGCAAATATCAACCAGACCTGGGTTAAAGCTCTTGTCCCTTACTAGCTGTGTGGCCTTGGGCATGTCACTTAACCTCCCTGAGCCCAAGTGGACTCATCCATTACATGAACATAACCACTTTCACCATGCTAGGCTGGCAAGAGGGTTCACTGAAGTAATGCAGGCAGGGCAAATCATTCAGTGCCTGGGTCACAGTCGGTGTGCAATAATAAATATTAACGATGATGAAGAAGAGAATGAACAATTAGACCTTAAGGGAAAATGTGGTCAGGGGTGCAGAGACTCAGAATAGCAGAGCTAGAAAGGCCCCGAGAGTACCCTGGTCCAGTGGGCTCTCCTGGTGCAGGACTCATGGTGCCATCCCAACAGAAGGCATGCTGCCGTCAGGGACAGGGAACTCGCTCCCCCCTGCTTCCTGGTGTAGCCATAGTGCTGACTATAGGAAGATCTGAGCCTCCTTGAGATGTTTTACTAGTAAGCCTATCTGGGCACCCTTGGGTGCCTACAATACAATGGCTTGGAAGCCAATTCTATACTCTCAGGGCTTGGTTTGGGTTGGGGCAAGGCTGTCCACAGGGAGGCAGAGGTTGGGTGGAGGAGGTAACTGGGAGTTATCCTGGCCTGACAATTAGTGTTGGCTCCAATCACTGATACCAGAAGCTGCAGTGACCAGCCCTGGCTCTACTCACATGATAATTCCAAAGTGGTTCTCCAAGAGGTCAGAAGTGTCATCTCTCTGTCTGCAGTGCTCTCGTCTTTGGAGAAAGGACAAGACCAAAATGATGAAAAGCTACAGGGGAAGAAGATGAGAGGGTCAGTGGGAATATTCATCCTAGGCGTGGCCTTGGTGTCAGCTCTGAAGGACACGTGTGGGTGAGCAGAGCACGCAGAATGTGTGCTCTGCTCAAACACCAGAGGCACAGAGTGGCTGCACGCACCCTGGAGCAGGGGTCCTCAAACTACGGCCCGCGGGCCACATGCAAATACAAATACTGTATTGTTCCCGTTTTGTTTTTTTACTTCAAAATAAGATATGTGCAGTGTGCATAGGAATTTGTTCATAGGTGTTTTTTTTTAAACTATAGTCCGGCCCTCCAACCGTCTGAGGGACAGTGAACTGGCCCCCTGTTTAAAAAGTTTGAGGACCCCTGCCCTGGAGCTTCCAGGATGTTTTGTAATGAGCTTTCTTTTGGGTTGCCCCAAACAGATGTGAGCTCACATCTAGTCTCTTCCATATACTGGCGGAGAGGGAGACTTAACTTCTCCGAATCTCAGTTTCCTCATCTGTAAAAAGGGGAAAATAACTGTCAGGTTGCAAATCCTTCTTTGCTTTTTCCCCTTGTGGATTCCGTCATTTTCTCACGTAGTTAAGGCCCTTTCTTCTTCTTTTCTACCAGAAACTTCTTAAGACTTGTCTACACTTGCTGACTCCATTTCTTTGCCTCTCACTTGCTCTTCAACCTCCTAACCTGCCCTCACTGCTCCATGGAAACAGCTCTGGCTAAAGTCACTAATTACCATCTTGTTGTTTCATATGATGTAAACTTGAAGCTCGACTCTGGACCTTCCAGCAGCATTCCTTCCACCTCCTCTTCTTAGAAATCACTCTTTCCTAGCCTTCCATGCTTCCCTGGGTTTTCTCCATTACGTCTCAGACTCCATTGTTAGATCATTCTTTATCCAACCATGAGGTTTGGAATTCCTCCTAGTTCAGTCCAAGGAATACTCTTCTTCTTACCTGATCCTCTCTTCCTCAGCAATCTCATCCATGTCCATGCTTTCCATGACCACCAATACACAGAAGACTCACAAACTTGATCTTTAGCCAGACTTGTCCTTGAGCTCCATAATTGTTCCAAATACCCAGCTGGCATTTCTTTTTGAAAGCTTCTTGAATTCTTATATGAAACTCATGATTTTCCTCCCTGCCCAATTCCTTTATCCACCCCAAACCTGGACCTCTTCATATTTTCCTTAACTAGAAAATGGCAGATACCACCATCCTCCCAGCTGTGCAAGTTAGAAACCAGAGTTATCCTCATCATCTCCCTCTCCTTAACTTCTCTATCCAATCCATTACCGAGTCCTATTGCTTTACTCCCAAATGTCTTGAGTTGACCACCATCATCTAGGATGAGGTAAAATTGCCTCTCACCTGGACCCCCACAACCATCTCCTAACTGGTCTTCCTGCGGCCTCTCTGGCCCGCCTCCAACATGATCCCAACACTGCAACCAGAGTGATCATTTCAAAACATAAATCTGATCACACCACCCTCATGCTAGAAACACTCTAATTACTTCCCATTGTACTTAGAATAAAGACAAAACTCCTCTGCACAGAGCCCCACAGGGCTCCTCCTGGCCTGACCCTGCCCAGCTCCCTGGATAGTTCCACCTCAACTCACTCCAGCCACACAGCCCTCCCGGTTACTCACGCTCTCCAATCCTCCCCGCAACACATACGCACACAGAGAGCCTTTGCACATGCCCTTCCTTCTACCTGAAATGATCTCCCTTGCATCTTCCAATGGAACCCAGCTCCATCATTGCTTCCCTGAAAAGCCAGGATCTCCGACTCTACACCCTTAAAAGCCTCCTTCTGCCTGTGTTTCTAGTGTATAACGTTAAGAAATCTGCTGACCTCTTCAGGCCCCTATGGGAGCTTGTGTATGGGAGCAGCCCAGTTCCTCTTCCATCCCCTCCTCCACCCTCTCCTGCTTTACTTACTGATGGGATGAGGGAGTAATGGAGAAAGAGTTCCATGTCCACCAAGCCAGCGCAGGTGCCATTTAACTGCCTTGTCCTGGAAAATGGCCAAAAAACACATTCATATCATCGGTCACTGCTGCAGGCATTTGCCCTTCGGTCCTGACCATCACTGTCGGGAGTTTGGCTTGCAGTCCACTAAGATCATCTGATCTTTTTAAATTTTGCTTTCTCAGAGCCAGTACTACTCACATGTGATGTATCTTCCCCAAGTGGATTAACCTTTTTTCCGATTTCTTTCTCCACCCTGATCATCTACCCAACCCCCTGCTAACTGGGCCTAACTCCTTCCTTTCTTTTTCTTTTTCTTTTTCTAAATATATTTTATTGATTTTTTTACAGAGAGGAAGGGAGAGGGATAGAGAGCCAGGAACCTCGATGAGAGAGAAACATCGATCAGCTGCCTCCTGCACACTCCCTACTGGGGATGTGCCTGCAACATGCCCTTGACTGGAATCGAACCTGGGACCCTTCAGTCCGCAGGCCGACGCTCTATCCACTGAGCCAAACTGGTTAGGGCGCTCCTTCCTTTCTTGATGACACAGTCAGGGACAGATTCAGGTCCTGTGGGGCCCAAAGCTTCTATCATTTGGACATCCTTTTCAAATGTAACTACAAAAATATCTTACTTTCTCCATGTTTTAAGGAAAACATATGACCATGTAAACATTGAACTAAGGTGCCCCCACCCTCCAGCTGCCTTGGAAGGGTCCTGAGGAGCCCTGAGACGTAAGTTTCCGTAACCTCGCAGGAAACCAGCCTTTGGACACAGTTTTCCAAAAACAGAGGTCAAGAAGCGTCAGCTCGCTTCTGACCCACGCTGGGCCCTTGGGGCAGGACAGCGGCTATCTGGACGATAGAGCGTGGACTCTGTCCTCTCCAGGCTTCAGTCGGCAGGCCAGGGCTGCTGGGGTCTCACGTCTGAAACACGTGACAGACAGTTTTGTGACTTCTCTTCAAAGGCACCTCCTTTCTGGGCTCTCACCACACTTGCTCGTGCTGCTCTGGCTTCCACCACACCAGCTCTGCATGCTCTCACACCTCCTGATGTCCGCTCACTCTGTTCCCTACCCCAGCAGCATCCATCCAGCCGTCTCCTGGCCTTCTTCCCTGGCCAGCTCCTACTTCTCCCTCAGAAGTCTCAGGGGAGGGCACTCCGCTGGGGAGCCCTTGAGCATGACACATTGCCCCGTAATTCTTTAAAATTCCAGTGCTCCCCAGTTTTGCCTAACGATGAGTCTGGAACACCTAGAAGTGGAGGGGGTTGGGGGGAGCTTAGGCTGTCAGCAATGTGACAGAACTGTAAAGCTCAGGCTCTGGCCTTCAGGAAGGTCAACTGAGCACATACATCAGTCTCCCCTTCCCATAAGAAAACCATCAGATGTGATTTTTTAAAAAGAAAGAAAATATGGCCATATTTGAAAGCAAGAAGAAAACCTATCAGGGACACAGACTCTGAGCAGTGGAAAGAGATTGGGACCAGATCAAAGAGAAAAAGCATCAGCCGACACGGTCCAGGCTGTGGGGCCGGTTGAGAAGTGCTCGACGCCGGCGTGCAGGAGGCTGAAGCAGGACGGGGCTGCCCACTGACCACAGAATGACGGCCTGGGATTGATCGGGTACCCAAGTGTCCTCCCACCCCAGCTGACCAGCGGGGCAGTGGTGTTTAGATCTCCGGGAGTAGTACATACGGGTCACTCAGAGAGAGGCTGTGCCCAGATCACAGGTGGCACCTGGGAGGGACCAGGAGCTCCAGCTTCCAGAAGGCCAGCTCCTGAGGCACCCCATCTAGGGACATCCCACCCCACCCCACTGCACCGAAAGAGGCCTTGTACTGGCAGCAGCTGCCACCCCTCCCACAGCTAATATCCCAGGGGAAAGCCCCATCACAAAGATGAGCAAAGAACCACCAAACATCTAAGGAAAGATGACACCACAGAAGGGAGCCAGAAAGTCAACAGACAGAGGAACTTACTCCTGAGGAAATAACGTCGACACAGAATAGAGGGGATTCTCTAAACAAAGACTTAGTCAAGGGAGAAGAAGAGGGGTACAGAAAGCAACAGCAGTCAAAGAAATTAGCAAAACTTACGGCTGATACTGAGCACAGAATTTTACATATATGTTTATATATAATAAACTTATCCTATAAATTTACATTTATATAAATTACATATATTCATATGTTTACACTTATATTATTTACAATGTAACTAAATTTATAAATGTGAATTTATTATATAAATAAGTTTATATATGTATATATAGGCCATTTTTAGAAACACAATTACGCAAAAGACCCTCTCTGAAACAAATATTGGAGGGAACTTTCAAGCAATAGGAAAAATACATCTAAATGGAGAAGGATTTAAAAGCAACCATGGCCCAGCCTGTGTGGCTCAGTGGTTGAGTTACGACTTATGAACCAAGAGGTCCCTGGTTTGAGTCCCGGTCAGGTGAGTTCAAGGAAGGCGGGTAGTGCAGCCCTGTAAACAAGGGGTCCTCAGCTACGGAGGCTGGTGCCACTGGCCACGCTTCCGCTCCAGCAGCCACTTCGGTGAACACGTGAAGCATGCACCCGAGTCAACCCAACTCAGAAAGCCACGGAGACACTGTCTTGGTCTCTGAGACCCACGAGGCTTCCTTGTGGGTCCGGGGCTGGCGGGGCAGGTCTGGTGTGGGGTGGGTAACACCTGCTGGGCAGCAGAAAACCAGCACCCCCAAATGTAGAAGGCCCACTTTCAAGGGGTGATGCCTTGGAAATGCGTTTATGATATGCTGCTAAATGGAAAAAAATGATAAAACAGTATGATCCCAGGTTGTGAAGTGGTGGAACTAGTAGAGCTCATTTTACTTTCGTTTCCCCTGGAAAACAGCCCCGGTGTTCAGTGAGTATTGATCCTATCCCCTGCCTGCTTTTGAATAGCTCTGGCCAAAGAAAAGGAGACTCTCACTGGCTGTTTCTGACTCCTCAGACCCCAGACCCTGTTTGCTCCTCTGTTTCCAGGAGTGTCTCGGGTCAGCCATTCCCCGGGCTGAGCATCCCTCCCCAAGCCCCAATCAAGCGCATACTGTGGGCAGCCGGCTGACATCCCTGGCCTCCTGCTAGGTGTGAGGTGTCAGGAGCTCCCCTACCCTGTGGACTGACCACACAGTGGACCTCCCCTGGTTAACCAGTAGCCAGAGCGGCTGCCCGTGCCCGGCCCCGTGACCAGTCTCCCACTTCCATGCTGCTAGCAGGGAGGCCCAAAGCAGGGCAGCCTTGCCCAGAACCGTCCCGCTGCCCTCCCCAGCCGCCGGCCTCCTCGGAGGCCCTCATGAAAAGAGGCTCAGCCAGGAAACCAGCGGCATTTACCCCAGCCCTGGTGCTCAGTGCCGTGGCTCCTGAGGCTCAGGGGACTCATGGGTCTCAGTCTAGTCAGTTGTTAATTGCGAGGTTGGACTTAGCCCATTGTCACAGCAGCCAGCCCACTGTGTAGAAATGTCTTTTTATGGGTCTGTGTCCCCAGTGGATGGGGAGCTTCTCGGGGGCATTCATCTCCACGTGCCCAGCTCCTAGCCTGACATGTGGCACTAGCAGGTGCTCACTGATATTCCCAAATGGATGGCTGGGAAGTTAACATTTCTCCAGGGCCTGCTGTGAACCAGGCTTACCCTTTAAGGGTTATCCTTTTATTATTAACTAACTTCATCCTCACAGCAGCCTGGAGAGAGAGGTACTGTTATCAACCCATTTCACAGGTAAGGAAACTGAGGCATCAAAAGAAACTTGTCCTAGCTTACCCAGCTGGTGAGTTGGGGAGCCAGGACTTAAACTTGGGCAATGTGGATGATCATGTAATTCCCAACTGTCACATTCTATGTCTCATCAACCTAATTTTCTGTTCCTATGGCCAGGGCAGTCTGAGCTCTCCTGGGACAAAGATGTGAGAATCGCAGGGCCTTGTGACGATTTAAGGGTAAATGTGTGACAGGTCATTTGTGCACAGCACAGTAATGCCACGGGGGGAAGTACACTTCTTTTTGTGAGTGAAATCCATGGTGAAATGACAGGCTGTCTGAAGGAGGGGGAGCAGGTGGGAGGACCAACAAAATAAGACTACCGCGCGTCGACGATTGTTGGAGCTGGGTGATGGGAATGTGGGTGTTCTTTACATTAGTCTCTGCTTTTGTATAAGCTTGCACACTTCCTAAAAATAAGTTTATGTTTCTTAAATAAAATAAAATTAAGTCTAGGACTATCATACAACCACACAGGCTGCCTGCCACCTTGCCGACAGTGTCTTTGGCCCACCCCCCTCTCTCGTCCCCCTCCATCGCCCTCAGGCCTGCCTCTGACAGCCTCCCCAGAGAGTCGCCTGCATCTCTGTCTACCTCGCTCTCTAATTGCCTGTTGGTTTGTCTCCGTCTGTCACTTTCTGTGACTCTGAGAATCAGGGAAAAGTTCTACAGTGAAAGACACCCTTCCATTTTCGTCCAGAGACTCTCTTCTCTGTGTGTCCATATCTCTGTTTTCTTCTTTGCCTCAACCTCTTCCATTCATTTTGACCTTGCTGTGCAGCTAGGGAAGGTCAGCTCTGGGTCAGTATCCTGCCTCAGAGGGCGTGTCTCGGGTGTTTCTATGCTTGTGTGGGTCCTCAGGTCGGCCTGGAGGGAAAAGCCGGGATTTGGAGACAGACACCTTGAGATCTTGGGTGAATCATTTCTCCTCCTGAAGCCCTGGTTGCTTCGTCTGTAGAATGGGAGTGATGCTATCGCTTCCCTGGGTTGTTAGAGAACGAGTAGGAATGGCGCTTTGTTAACTGAGAAGCACCACGCATGCTGGTTCTCGGGCCTGTTTCCACCTTCCCTACAACTACCCCCCCCCCCCCACACACACACACTGTTTCACAAGGTGGGAGTGGGGACTCCAAGCAGCAGCCTGGCCTCCAGCAGACTCTGGGGTGCTCTCCTGAGGTGGCACCGGCATTATCAAGAGACACGGGAGCCACTGTACCAAGGAGCTGGATACCCTGGCTGGGTCCCCTGGCTCCACCAGAACTAGCTGGTTAACCATCTCATAGAAACAGAATCAGCTCGGCCAGGTCAGCAACAGAGCTCTCCACGGGGGCCCAGTGGTGGGACCTTCCCCGTGCCAAGCTACAGGCACCACGGGAAAGAACGGTGCTTTATAGCTGACGCAACATCCCCACTCTCCAGGCCTTGAGGATCCTCAGAGCAAGGTCAGAGAGCGGCTGTCACAGGCCCACAGTGGGGCTCACACACAGGCACTAACGTAAGCCATGAGGATTAGAAATTAGGTATCAATTGTCTGGCCTGTCTTTATTCCATTTTCTCCCAGGACCTCCCTGCTTCCTCCTCTGTGCCCAGATCTCTGTTTATTCTCCTGTGCCTTGACCTTGCCCATTCATTCTGAGCTTACGGTACAGCTCGGAAAGGTTGGCTCCAGGGGGGCTGTAGAGGGTGTGTTTCAGGTGCTTTCACACATGTCTGAAAAGTGTGGAGAGAGCGACATGAAAGAAAAGGTGATTGAAGAAGACAGAAGCCCAGTTTTCTACTCCCTACCATGCTTAACTGTCCAATAAAGCGACATCTGTTTTCATTTCTTTTCACTTAATAACATAGTAATAATAACTACCACATACTAAAGGTTTGCCACATGCTGGACATTGAACTAAGGCCTTTATGGTTATTATCTCACTTAATCCTTTCACAACTTAGGCAGCGCAGTTTATTATTCCCACTTCATGGATGAGAAAACTGAGGCTTAGAGAGAAAGAAGTAGATGCCCAAAGTCACTCAGCTAGAAAGCAGCAGAGCTATCATTGGAACCCTTGTTATATTTTCTACACAGGAAACATATTCACACACAAAATTACATTAAGACATTGAAAAGGGTTCTGTGTCTGTGGTCCTTGGAGAAGACAGGGACCCCTTATCTTCACTGGGCAGACAAGTCTGACAACATGCTCAGGCCTGAGCCCGCCCTGTGAGAAGGGCCCTGGCCAGCTAGCCCACGTCCAGGGAGATGACCATGATGGAGAGAAGGTCCTGAGAGGGATGCGTGGGGAGTATGGTGCTGATGTCAAATAAATGTCAGGGGCCCAGAGGCCACACTGGCACCTCAGGTGGGCCAAGTTCTTTGGGTTCAGCCCAACTTTTCTGAGTCCAGACCAGGAAGCCAATTGACTGCCTCCTGGTCATCTCCTTTCGATGTCCCACGGGCACTCCAGTCCAACATGTCCCAACGGAACACCCCCTCCAACCTGCTCCTCCTCTGGGGGCCCTCCCCTCAGCAATGGCCCCATCATCCACCCTTTAGTCTAAGCCAAAGACTGAGTCATCCTCAACTCCTTCCTCTCCAAGTCACTCCCATTCAAGCCCAGTCAGTTCAACCTCTCCAATCACTACCAAATTCAGATACATCTCGATCCCTACAGCCCCCTGCTTAGTCCAGGCCACTGTCATCTTCACCTGGACTTTGCAGTAGCCTCCTGCCAGGTCTCCTACCTCCAGCATTGCCCCTCTCCAACCCATTCCCCACTCTCTGACCAACTTCCTAAGAGTCCATATTCCAGGACATCACTCCCCTGGTCCCTCTCAGCCCAAGGAACCCAGCTGGAGAGAGAAGAGAGAGAAACCAATTCCCTTGGGCTTTCTAGTTCATGCCCCCACCCACCCAGCTGACTCCCTGCTCTCGGTCCCCCTGTCCATCAAGCTGATCTCTGGTCTGTTTCCCGTCACGTGCCCTTTTCCATGCACTGCTCTCTGGCTCCCTCCCGCCTGTGCCTGTGCCTGCAGGGATCTCCTTCTCCAAGTGACTCTCATGATGCCTGTCTGTGTTCTCATGACTCCTTCTCTCCCTTTGCCTTCCACAGCATCCCCTGACAAGCTACACGGATACACTATAACCCCAGAGAACGAAGATTCTATTTTGTGTATATCTGGAGTAGTCTTTTCCTTTCTTAGATCTTAGACATTTGCATGGTTGAATGAGAACTCTTCATTCCTGACATCTGGGCAGGACTTTACATTTCACAAAGTCCTGTCACATTCTGTTCTCGGTGATCTCCACAAAGCTGTGGGCTAAGAAGGACGGGGGTTATTACTCCCGATTTATTGAGATCTGCCAGAAACTGCAGAGCCAGGATTCAAACCCGGGTCCTCTAACACCACGCCTGGACTCTTCCCACTCCACTCTGTGGCTCCAAAAGGAAGATGAACGAAATCTGTTCACTTACCTAAGAACCCTATCCATGACTCTTTCCTCTGTGCCAGCCTGCCTATAAACTAGCGAAACCAGGCCTTTCTCCCGATTGCCATGAGTCACCAACATCAGAGGAGGAAGCTGCCAGGACACTCAGTTGTCCAGCATGACTGGTCTTATACCTTGTCTTGGAACTCACCTCTCCGCTGTGGAAATCATCTCGGTGGGAAAGCACCACCCGCAGCCCCGGTGAGCGGGTTGTCCTTTGAGCTTCTCCAGCCTCTTGGTTATGACTGCTTCTGACAGTCCGGAGTTCCACCCCGTTCTCTTCACAGCACCCAGAAAACTCACGGAAAAGGTAAACATCCAGTCAAATATTTACCAGAGAAATCGAAGCAAGTGGGTGGCCTTCTTCCTTGTTTCTGAACGCTGCTGGCTGTTCTTCTGCTCTTCCTCCTCTTCTCACGCTGAGTCAACAGGAACCTCCCTCCTACTTCCCCTCTCCTGGGCCCTTATTGTCTCTTGTAGGCCCTTGCCATAAGCACTGGCCCTCTGAGCCATCAGAGCTTTGCCCAGCGGAGGCCTCTAGCTGGCTGTAAAAATTATTACCAGCAATCCAGTAGGACTGTGCCTCAAGCAATAAATGAGGAAACTGGAACCACTCACTGATTTTAAGATTCTCCTTGGAAACAAGGCCGCCCATTTGCTGGGAGAAAGGGTTGGAGACAAGTTAAAAATGAATCCCACATTAAAAAAAAGAGAATCCCACAGACATGGTGGAGAATGTGGTAAGACTTCTAAGTACCATAATTGCCCATGGATTCTAAATGCCCACCGTTTCCAAATGATCTTCTGGGGCTTAATGGCAACTGGACTCCAGGCAGTCACTGCATCCATCAGCTCCTAAGCCAGTCTATGGCCCCACCGCACTTTTATCACCCGTAAGTTGTCTGTGGCTCCTCCCCTTCTCCATTCATTATGCCTCCTGATGGTTCTTTTTTTTTTTTTTTTTTTTCTGGAAATATTGCCTTCTTTTTCTGAATATACTATATTAATGTATTGTGTTGAGCTTACAGTAATATTTATTTTATTTATTTTTATTTTATTTATTTTACATGCCATGCTTAGGTGGCTACTCTCTTAAACATTTAACAAGTGTTAGTAATTATATTACCTTAAAATAGAAGGCAGAATTAGCAGAGAGATAAAAGTATTTTTAGCTAGACTAAATGACCTTTTCTTTCTTTTTTTTAAATATATTTTTATTGATTAAGATATTACATATGTGTCCTTGTCCCCACGTTACCCTCTACCCCCCACCCCCCGCTCATGCCCTCACCCCCCCCCCCCATTGTCCGTGTCCATTGGTTAGGCCTATATGCCTGCATGTAAGTCCTTTGGTTGATCTTTCCCCCTTACCCCCACCCTCCCCTACCTTCCCTCCAAAGCCCGACAGTCCAATCAATGCCTCTCCGTCTCTGGATCAGTCCTTGTTCATCAGTTTATGTTGTTCATTATATTCCACAAATGAGTGAGATCATGTGGTATTTATCCGCTCTCCAGTTCCATCCATGCTGTGGCAAATGGTAAGAGTTCCTTTTTCTTCTTCCTCTTCTTAAAGAATACCTTTCAGCATTTCATATAATGCTGGTTTGGTGGTGATGAACTCCTTTAGCTTTTTCTTATCCGTGAAGCTCTTTATCTGACCTTCTATTCTGAATGATAGCTTTGCTGGATAAAGTAATCTTGGTTGCAGGTTCATGCTATTCATCACTTTGAATATTTCTTGCCACTCCCTTCTGGCCTGCATGGTTTCTGTTGAGAAATCAGCTGACAGTCGTATGGGTACTCCCTTGTAGGTAACTGACTGTCTTTCTCTTGCTGCTTTTAAGATTCTCTCTTTGTCTTTTGCTCTTGGCATTTTAATTATGATGTGTCTTGGTGTGGTCCTCTTTGGATTCCTTTTGTTTGGGGTTCTCTGCGCTTCCTGGACTTGGAAGTCTATTTCTTTCACCAGGTGGGGGAAGTTTTCTGTCATTATTTCTTCAAATAGGTTTTCAATATCTTGCCCTCTCTCTCCTTCTGGTACCCCTATAATTCTGATGTTGGTACGCTTGAAGTTGTCCCAGAGGCTCCTTACACTATCTTCATATTTTTGGAATCTCTTTTCTTTTTTCTTTTTCAGTTGGGTATTTTTTGTTTCTTTGTATTTCAAATCTTTGACTTGATTTTTAGGATCCTCTTGTCTGCTGTTGGATCTCCGTAGATTATTCTTTATTTCAGTCAGTGTATGCTTAATTTCTAGTTGGTCCTTTTTCATGTCCTCCATGGTCTCACTATACTTATTGAGGGACTCATTAAATTTATCGGCGGTTTCCATAAAATTCTTGAAAAACCTTATAAACGTGGCCTTGAACTCTATATCCAGTCGTTTGCTTTCCTCCATTTCTGCCATTTGTGACCTGTTTCTTTGTCTCCGCATTTTGGCTGCTTCCCTGTGTTGATAGAGTGGCTTTGTGTGCTAGGTGTCCTGTCCTGTAGGGCCCAGTGGCTCAGCCTCCCCAGTTACCTGAGGTGGACACTCTTGGTGCACCCCCTCGTGGGCTTTGTGCACAGTCTTGTTGTAGCTATGCCTTGGTTGCTGTAGGATCACTGGGAGGAATTGACCTCCAGGGCAACTGGCAGCGAGAATCAGCTGTGTCTGCAGTGGGAGAACTTCTGTGCTGGAGACACCCTTCTGGGGCAAGACTTGCTTCAGTGGGGCTTTGGTGCTCACTGAGACTGCACCCTGAGTGTGTCCCTTATGGATCTGAGGAGTTGTGATCTGGATGGTCCCCCTCTGACCACTGGGTACAGTGGCTCTTGGATCTAAGGAGGTGCTAATTTAGCCTCTGCCTGAGGTTACACAGCAGGAACTACAAAGAGAACTGCAGATTCCCCTTCCTTTTTTTGGAGTTTGGAAGTGCCCTGATGATGCTCAGCTGTGTAGCAATGCAAGCCGCTGTGGGGCCTTGGGCCTTCTCTTGGAAGCTCTGGGTCTATCTGGCCCGGCTGCGGTTAGGTAATTACAAGTTGCAAATGGCCGGGGCATTCATATGCAAAAGCCTCTGCCGCAGCCTGGGCGGGGCGGGGACTCAAGGAATCAAAGGGCGGAGAAAGCAGCTATGGTGGAGCCTCAGCCCCGCCCTAAGGAGTCGCAAGTCCCAGTGTCCCGGCAATGGCTGCAAGCACCTCTGAGGGAAAGCCACTCTCAAGCTCGCCCGCTGCCAGACAGTCCAGTTTCTCCCTGTATGAGTCCTGGGTCCCCAGAGACTTCCCGGAACCAGATTTCAGAGCCGTCGGGAGCTTGTGTCTCCCTCCGGATTCAAAAAGACAGCCGCGTCCTCAGGTGCCAGACCCTTTCCGCGCGCACAAGCCCCCGTACCTCTGCACTCCACCTCCGCAGCTCCTCCCGCTCGCAGTGTGCTTTTCTTTCCTTCTAGTTGTAGAATTTACACTCAGCCAGCCCTCCTGTAGTTCTGGATGATGTCCACCTTGTGTTTTTGATGCATTTATCGATTGTTGGGGGAAGCAGCCGGTGTTTATCTATGCCGCCATCTTAGTTTCTCCCTGATGGTTCTTATCCATCCATTTGTGCCAGAGGGCTCAGGGTGTGGGTATGTCTTGTTCACTTCCTCTTTTTCCTTCTGCCAGCATAGAGTTGGTGTTCAGAATGGTGGAGCCACAACCTGGAAGGAGCCTGGGTCCCTGAATCAACACTGAAGGAGAACAGGAATAGCCGTTTAGATTTTACATGAATAAGCAATAAAATTCTATGTTAGGACCATTATACACTTCGGAGTTGGCTATAGCACCTAGTCCTTATCCTAATCAATACACTATATTTTCCAACCACACTGCCTCTGCCCCAGATCCAGTCCTCTGCACCTCCTGTCTAGACTATGGTAAGAGCTGTCTAATGGCCTTGCAGCTTCTAGGCTCTAGGCTCGGTGCATACATACATACACCTCCCTGCAGCACAACTCAGGTCTGTCACACCCCTGCCAAGCATCGTCCCATACTCTGCACTCCCGACTCGAGCACTCCAATCCAAGCCTTTCAAGAAGTTGCTTTAACCCTCTTTTCCAGCCTAATCTCCACTGGTTTCCTACACACATCTACAGGGTTTTTTAAGTTGCTTATTCTGGATCTTCAGGGAGCAAGGAACAGAGATCCACTCAAATTTCCCTGAGTTAAAGGGGCTTCCTATTACTCTCCGGCAAGGGCTGGGATCCAACCTGGGAAGGTGTTGGAAACTGAGGTTCTTGGGAATAGTTCTTCCCCTCTCGTGGCCAATGGGGTTTCTCTTTCTCTCATCTCTCTCCCTCTTGGTATTTTGGCTTCAATCTATTCTCTCTGCAGTTCAGTCCCTTTGCTTCCTTATGATTTCCACTCTCCCCTGGTTTCAACTCAGCACTGTCCTGACTCTAGCTCACATCATCCTTTCACCTTCTACCCGCAAAATTCACTGGCTCCTTTCCAGGGTTTTCCCAGGTCTAACTACCGGGAGAAAAGATCTACCCCAGTTTATCTTTTCCCCCAGGTAGGACACAGGCTAGTCTATGCTCTTCTGTCTTTGGCTCAATCCCACACCCCTTATATTCATTTTCTTAGAGCTGCCATGACAAAATGCCACACACGGGGTGGCTTAAACAACAGACATTCATTATTTCACAGTTCTGGAAGCTGGAAGTCCAAAATTAAGGTGTCAGCAGGTTTGGTTTCTACTAAGACCTCTTTCCTTGGCTCGCAGAAGGCTGCCTTCTCACTGTGTCCACACATGGCCTTTCCTCTGTGCAGGTGCATCCCTGGTGTCTCTGTCTGTCCTAATCTTCTCTTCTTATGATGCCACCAGTCAGGTTGGATTAGGGCAGTGATGGCGAACCTTTTGGGCTCAGCGTGTCAGCATTTTAAAAAACCCTAACTTAACTCTGGTGCCGTGTCACATATAGAAATTTTTTGATATTTGCAACCATACTAAAACAAATATTTGTATTTTTGATATTTATTTTATATATTTAAATGCCATTTAACAAAGAAAAACCAACCAAAAAATGAGTTCATGTGTCACCTCTGACATAGGTTCGCCATCACTGGATTAGGGCCTACCCTAATGGCCTCATTTTAACTTAATTACCTCTTTAAAGGTCCTATCTCCAAATACAGTCCCATTCTAAGGTATTGGGGTTAGGGCTTCAATATATGAATTTGAGGAGGACACTACCCAATCCATAACACCCCTGGTCTAAGCAGCTCTGGTGGAGTGGGAGAGGGTCATGGAGGCAGTGAGCAGGCACCATCACTGACAAACTCAGGCCATTGGTGTTTGCCCACCTTGATCCCTTTACTCCCACCCAGAACATGCACTTCACCTCTGCTCCCCACCATTGTCTTTGTTCATTAAGTCCTACCTCAAGCATCATATCTGGCATGAAGTGTCTCCTGATCACCAGGTATAATCTTATTTCCCCTGGCTTGGTCTACATCTCTTTCACAGCATGTATTTAGGCCTTTATTTGTTTAATGCATTTAACGCATATTTATGGCGAAGCAGTCTGGTGCAGTGGTTCAGAGTGTGGACCGTGGGGCCAACTCCACCATTTACTAGCTGAGTAGCTCTGGGCAAGGTACCTGGTTAAGCTCGCTGAGCCTCAGTTTTACGTGAGATAAGGCACACCTGCTTGATGGACATGTGAAGCTGAAGTGACCTAATACACATACAACGCTCGGGGGGGCCTCACGCGCAGTAAGTGCTCAGTGGCATTAGCTGTTACTGGGCGCCTGCTCTCTGCCCGGTCCTGGCTGCATGCGACCACACAGTCACGTCCCAGTTCAGGCGTCCAGGTCTCAGCTCCCCTGCTAGATCACAGCGGCTAAGAGGCCACGACTCGACCTGACTCAGCATGACGTCTCTGGGGTACAGGGAAGGCCCCATAAGTGCTGGCTCTCAAAATTGAAAATAATGGAAGAAAAATGAAAAAGACAGAAATATAAAGATCACGTACAACATCACTGTCTTCCTCGATGCCTAGAAACAAAGAAACACTGCAAATGTGTTTTCTCTGGAGCCAGGCCCTCTCTGTTCCTGGAAGAAGCAGTTCCTGGTGCATCCACACCGCGTCGTTCCGGGAAAAGCCTTGCAACGTGCTGCTTCTTCCAGGCGCACGGAGATGCTATCCCTTTGGGGAGCGCCCACCTGCCAGATGCTTCCTGGCTCCACTGCTCAGGCTCAAATGGACATTCTAAACTCTGATCATGCTAGTTCTTCTCACAACTCCTCTCTTCACACCATTAAGGAAGAGTCATTTTGAACTGCACTGACCACCCTGGGGAGGTTGGGAAGGGAGCTACCTTCAAGGGGGAGAAACATTAAGACACTTGTTATGAAGTGTTTAAGTTCAGGAAAATTCCACCCATAGTAATAAGGACCCATTTCTAAGGGGTGACCATGCTGCAGACATGACCCCTTTTGAACCGGAAGTCAAACCTGTGTAATAGATTTCATTTTCCCTCTCCCATACTTTCTCAGTTTAGTGTTGAATCAAAACATAGAACTTACATGGATCCGGAAAATATGTCAATATTTGATTTATTTCTACCATTCTAATCTATTGCCTCTCTTATCCAATGTGCACTGATTCCTTTTTAAGGCTTTGGGGAATTTGAATACTTTTGCGGAATTCATCCAGGTTATTGATAAAAACCTGAATAGAACAGAGCCCTAGGGCACTCCACTAGAGACCTCTTTCCAGGAGCCAGGTAACGATGCTGCAGGCAGCTGGCAACGAGTGGGAAAGAGATGACTGACTACACCCGAACTCGGGTTAGGAAGGGTTACTGTGTTTAGCCCTGTGTTCAGCAGGGTTCAGAGTTCCGGAGACATGACGGAAGGAAAGTCAGTAGTTCATCACAAAGACAATGCTTGTCTCTCAAGTGCTGGGAGCTTATCACAGGACAGCCTCTATTTATTCTGTACACCTATGGCTTAATTATTAAGCTCAGAAACAAAGTAACCAACATATATGGAAGACCTAGTGCAATTTCTTTGCTAGTGATATTGACAGCTTTCTGGGGTGGGTATGACCTTTGACTAAGAACATTTTTCTCTCTTTGAAAAACAATGAAACTAACCTATATTCCTCTCCTGTCCCTTCTCTGTCGCAAACAGGGCTGGCTCCTCCTGCTGGCAGAAGGAAACTCCTTAGCTGGGTATTCAGTGACTTTTGTGATGTGACCTCAATTTATCGTCACAGACTAGACTCAACTCTGGGTAAGTCCACAGGAAAGCTGGACTGACCTCTCAGGTGCCACCCACCTCTCCTGCCCTCACTCATGTCACAAAGCACCCATGTGCCAAGAAGTATGCTAGTCCCTGAGGACAGACACACATCTTGTGCCTCCTTCCCAGGTCGGCCAAGATCCTGGCTTAAGCACAGTATCCTCTCTAGGGAGGTTTTGGTGCTTTTCAGTTTATCTCCGATGGAATACTGAGGAGGGGAGAGATTACTGCACCAGAAGGCAGGCTGGACGAACGGCCGAGGTGGTACTGCACAGGGACAGACAGGAGCAGCAGATCAGACCGAGCCATTTCTAGAGCCCCAGAAGGGGGACCCTTTAAAATGAAGGCCAACCAAACTGAAGCTGGGGTGACTATCTGTATGCATTTCTCTTCTCTCCTCTGGACTGAGAGCGCCTTGTCCCAGCACTTTGGCTCATTTGTATTATTAGAAAATGTTTATCAAACTAATGAATTAGGAACATCATTCCCAGATCTGTAACCCCTGGGTTGTCCACAAGATGGCGATTTGCACGGGTGGCACAACAAACTGCATTTTGGTGGAAGCCATAGGAAAAGATGCTGAAGGGAAGAATGGAGAAGCAGGAAAGACTTTCTGCAGACTTACCATCCTCTGCCCCGCCCCTGGCTGGAACATGCTATCCCCTCCATCCACATTTAAAGTATCTGCCTGTCAGACAGTAACGCCACCAGCACCAAGCCTGGATTCCACCGTACCGAGCAGGCCAGCAAAGGCCGATGATCTGGTCCTCTCCAGCCTCACCTCCTGCCTCCTGAGCTTCCACACCCCACACAGCTCTGCAGCTGGGCTGAGCTTTCTCCCCGCTTCCCACTGTACGGCGTTCTCTCAGCTCTTCCTGCCTTCAGACACACTGTTCCCTCTCTCTGCCCTCCTTCCAGACAACTCCTACTGTCTCCCCAAGACTCAGTTTAGGAAGCACCTTTTCCAGAAAGCCTCCTTAACCCTTGCCAGACAATAGACAAGCCTAAACTTCCTTCCATCCTCACTTTCCCCCATAATTCTATGGGCCCACAAGTGTTGCCCACAGTGTTAACTGGCTCTCGGGGAACCAGAGTTCACTGGGCTATAGGCCTTTGGGCAGTTTCAAAAAGGAAATGGATGCCAATCATCTTCAAAGCTTTGGAATGTTTTCTCCGCCCAGATATCACAGGCTCAGGGTTGGATAACTGCATTTTTTGTGCAATTAAACGCTGTGTGAAGTTTAAAAGCCTGAACCCAATCCCAAATATATCACCATATCTCATTATAACCCAAATCACTCCTGACCATGAGATGCACCACGACTTTATGTAGTATTAAGGGGGGAAAGCTAATTAAACGATGCTTCACTAATTGTAGGAGAGGCCTGAATTCAAGATGATAATAAGTGGGGAAACTGGGAAAAACCACAGGTGGAAAAACCAAGCACGGAATAATGTGCAGGGCATGCTGCTGCGTGTGTATGTGTTTAAAGAGAGGGGGCTGTGTGATGACACTTTATAGGCATACAAAATTCCCGGAAAGACACACCAACAACCTGATACGTGTGCCCTGTTGAAGCTGGTCTGGGGCATTGGGTGGAAGGGACACCCCCTTGACATCATTGCATCCATTTGTAAACTCTGACATTTTAAACCATATATTCCTTTTTAAAAATAAAACTTTGAAAAATGCAAAATAAAATGGCGCATCCTTATGAGAGGATTAAGGAGCATAATATTTGGAGCCGGCCTTGGATCTGGAAACCGTATGTACAATACAGACTACATAGACGACTTCGGGCAAGTTCCTGCCCCGCCTGCGTCCCAGTATCTCCGGGACCCGACTGCAGAGCGGCCAGGAGCCCCCCGCGCCGCACTGGTCCCCGGCCGCCCGGCCGTCTGCGGCGCCCCGCGGTGCGGGCCCGGCCAATCAGCAGCCGCGGGGCGGAGTGGCGGCGCCTCCCGCGCGGCGCGGAGAGCGAAGCAGAGGTGCCTCTGCCGTCCCGCAGCGGACGATGCCACGCTCACCCGTGCTCTCGCTGCTCCTGCTGCTGCCGCCGCTGGCCCTGGGCCTCGGGCTCCTCGGCGCGGGCGGCCGGCGCCCCGACTGTGGTCCGTGCCGGCCCGAGCGCTGTCCTGCGCCCGCGAGCTGCCCCGCGCCCGGCATCCCGGCGCGCGACGAGTGCGGCTGCTGCGCGCGCTGCCTGGGTGCCGAGGGCGCGAGCTGCGGGGGCCGGGCAGGCGCGCGCTGCGGCCCCGAGCTGGTGTGCGCGAGCCGCGCCGCCGGGGTGGCGCCCGAGGGCACCGGGCTCTGCGTGTGCGCGCAGCGCGGCGCGGTGTGCGGGTCCGACGGCCGCTCCTACCCCAGCGTTTGCGCACTGCGCCTGCGCGCTCGGCACGCTCCTGGAAGGCACCTTGGCCACCTGCACAAGGTGCGCGATGGCCCCTGCGAATTTGGTGAGTCCGGCTTCCGCCCCGCAGTATGTCCCTCCTTCCCCCCCCACACCACGATGGACAGCGGTGTCGAAGCCTCAGTTTTCCCTTCAGGATCAGTTTTTCTCGTCCGGCAGGGTGCTCAGGGAGACGGGCAGGAACTCACATCCTGCGCCCTCCCTTACCAAGCTCATAGCATGTTTTCCTCCACAAGACTGGGAGTTTGGGAGTGGCAGGTCCTCACTGTTTGGATGGAGAGGGAGGGGACGTGAAGATGCCAGAGGAGAAGGAGAGAACCTCCAGACCAGGACTCGGGAGCTACTCCGGGGAAGTAAGACCTTTGGAGCCTTAGGCTCTGAAAAGATTATAGTGCCCGCAGGGGCAGACCCAGGTTCTGTGGAGCTAAGGCTTAATACAATTTGGAAGGTCCCACTTTAAAGGAATTGAAAATTAATCATTGCTTGGAACCTAGAAACTTAAAGTTCATTAACATTACAATACAGTTGTTTATGGGTGCGCTTGCTGCTCACCCTCTCTATGTAATTTTTAAAAATCAAACAAAAATAAATCAAAACATTAGTAAAGGAATACCCAGAGATGCACTCTGCCAGCCCACTAGATTTTGGAGAACTGCCCCTTTCTACGCTGCCTGGAGGGGCCGGTGGAGAGTCTAGGGTGAGTCCCCAGGAGTCCAGCTTGGGGTTCTGGCTAAATGCCTAGGTCAGTGTAGTGACTTCAGCTCCAACAAGGAAGCTTTGGGGGTGGGGGAATGCCTCAACAGGCATTGGGAAGTTTCTATTATTATTTGCCCCAAAGCATTCCAAGTAGATGCATGTCCAGGAGACCAGTGTTGGAGATGGGGTGGGAAGGCTCCTGTCCCAGGAACATGAAAACAATGTTTCATGCACCTCCTTGGAGCACAGGAAAGTCACCAATGGCTATTCCTAGTTGGGGCTCCCACCAGGAGAGGGCTGGCCGGCACTTCCTGTACTGCTGGTTCCCTGAATGACCTTGGGCTGGTCCCTTCTCCTCCGTGGGCCGTGTCAGCCCTGTGGAGCCACTGTTGAGGTCCCTTTGTTTCTGCCCTGTGGCATTTAAACAGTCCTGTCTCCTTCCTTTTTCTAGTTCCTGTCACTCGTTTTTTACAATCTGCTTTCCTCAGCAGTTAATTCACAGGCAGTTCTCTTTGTCTCCAGACAGGTAACACTTTCACTCCACATGCAGGAGACATAAATGCTGACCAGGTCCCCGGAATGTACTGGTGTGGAAGGTCTCAGATGATTTTTCCCTGGAGTGGTATTCTGTTCCCAAGAGAGAGAGCGATGCCTTGAAAAATATTTAAGATGTTTAGACCAAATCTATTATGGGGAGGAGCCAGCGACAAGGGGTGGGGAGCAGGGGACCGGCCAGGGGGACCAGTAAAGCCTGACCAACTCCCAGGTCCCCTACACCCTGTTCTGTGCTCTTTCAGGACAGGACTTGATTGTGTGAAGTTAGGCAGGTGGTGGTTGCCATGGTTACCAGCGGGAGGCCAGATGGCAGATGGAAACCCCATACCCCTAATTCACTGAAAATTACCCAATGACAAGTAAATGTGACAGCCCCTCCACTCTGATCTATGGGCCCTGAGGCGCACCTCAGGCACCAGCCCCGGTGAAAAGGTGTTCGTGGAGCCAAATGGAGGCAACACAGAAGCTGCTTTTAATGATCCCATTAGTGACAGGCATCAGGCCTCCCCGGAATTTACTTCTCCTTTCCCACCAGTAATTGTCAGCCGCTACAGACCCGGCACTGTCTTCCCGTCGTTTCTTGTCCTGAGATGTAATGTGTGGCCCCTGCCCCTGTGTCCTGGTGGGGCCTGAAGGTGTGGACAGGCTCTTACCCCGCTAGACCAAGGCAGGGCGGCACCTCACTCTGTGCTGCCTAAAGCCACCCTCTATTCAGAGGATGCAGCAGGAGCACTTTTAACAATGCCCCCAGGGGACACTGGTTGAAGGGAAGCAGGCGCAGTCACTGCAGCAGCTGTTCTGCCTCAAAACTGGCAATAAAGCCACCCCTCCCCAGCTCCTCACCTACCCCTCACTATGCGAGCTTCCCACTTTAACAGAGTGAAGCCTCCGTAAATATGTATTAAGTTCTGCACGGCAGGGAGGTGTTCTTACACATGCCTCTCAGGAGCATTTGGAAACAGTTTTCAAGCTGAAATGCTTCCCTTTCCTCCTGTGCTCTGAAATGCCCCCAAATGCCTGATAATGAGGGTCATCCTCTGATTAACACACATTTATTGAAGACCCACTGTGCTCCCACCTCTGCATAATTATTTACTGTTGGAATATATTCAGTAAGTATATTTGCATCTCATCTTCTTAGTTTTTACCACTATCCTGGCCAGGACTCACTCCCATTTAATAGAAGGGAAAGCTGAGGCGCAGATTGGCTACTCTTGAGTCTTGAGGGTTTCTCAGTCTGGATCTACCCTCCTGTTTCCCCCCCAAGGCTTGTTGCTGGATCCTCTGTTTAATACTGGGTGACGGCTCCTGAGAGGAACAGGAGTAGCTTCACAGAAGAGGAAGCCTATGAGAGGAGCCTTGAAGGATGAGTAGAAAATTCCCAGGTTGAGGGGTGAGGGAGGCGGAGGTGCTGGGTGGGCAAAACGGTACCAAGGGACCATTGGTACCATTTTGCCCACCCAGAGTTTAGGGCCGGGTCATTGCCAGCCTGAATGCCAGGCTGAGGGGCGAAGCTTTGTTCTATACAGAACGATTGGTTCTGTTTCTCAGCCGTAAGGAGGCGTGGCATTCTGTGGTAATTGCTGTCGTTACGTTAAAAGGCTGTGTTGTTCCTCCCAGGTACGCGCTCTGATTAATGGCTAGCATTGGGAAGGGGTGGGCTCCTGCACACAGTAGGTTGACGTCCTGTTTCGAAAGCTACATTAGATAGGAGCAGTGTCCTGTGCCAGTGCCCACCAGGACACCAAGCCTCTGAAGCTTCAATAAGCTCTTAAGCTCCCGAGTCTTGGAAAATCTACCTCTGTTGGAAGTCCAGCTCCACTTAGACATATGTCTTTCGAGGCGTGTGTTACCAGGTAACCAGGAGAGGCAGCGAATGCCACTTTGTGAGAGGGACAAAGAAGGGGGGCCTCGTGCTCAAAAGCCTTTCAAGCGCAGGGAGGGGCTGGGGACGCAGGCTGAGGGGAGCGGGATTAAGCTGTTCCTCATTCTAGTGGTAAGGTGACTATTAGCATAAATTACAAGGGCTGTTCTGCGGGTTGATCATTAAACTCTTGGTGGGGCGCTTTTTCCTGCAGGCAGATGGGGTCCTGGGGGATGACTTTTGATATTCTTTCTTTCCCGAGCACCATTAGCTTGAAAGAAATCTCAGAGGCATTGGGAAGATCTTTCATTCCGGCCATCAAGGACACAGCTGACGGGGGGGGGGGGGGGGGGGGGGGCGGTGGACCACCACACGCTATAATAATAACATCGGTCCCTTTCATTTGCACAGATCCCACAGTTAGTGACACAGTCACATTCATTCTCTCCCTTCACCCTGGAGGACCAGGGCCAAAGTCATTGTCTTCATGTGCAGATAAGGAGGAAATGCTTCGCAACTCGCCGGAGCTCCTGTGCTGGGCATTTGAGAGTCCCTCGGTACCATTTTGCCCACCCACTGCTGCCTTTGTTGGGGCACACCTGGGTGACTATTTTCTGTTACCTGGTGGGTAGATTTGTGCTGTCCCAGCATTTCCAGGGCTGTTGCCGGCACGAACAGAAGAAAACAAGTATTGAGCAAGGAAGGGCTAGAAAGACAAAGCCAGCACGTTCAGACTGGACAGGCCAGGCACCATCCTCCCTCTTGAAAGCCATCTGACTCTTGTCAAAGGCAGGTAGGCGGGAAAGCCTGGCTCTTCCAGGAGTGTGGCAGCTCTGGCAGCGGTGAGGCTTTGACCCGGGCTCGCCCAAGGAAGGGCCATGGCCTCTGGGGCCTCCAGAGAGGACTCTCCGATAGGTCTGCTCACCAGAGCCCATTAGAGCAGTGATGGCGAACCTATGACACGCGTGTCAGAGGTGACAGGCAAACTCATTTTTTTGGTTGATTTTTCTTTGTTAAATGGCATTTAACTATATAAAATAAATGTCAAAAATATAAATCTTTGTTTTACTATGGTTGCAAATATCAAAACATTTCTATATGTGACACGGCACCAGAGTTAAGTTAGGGTTTTTCAAAATGCTGACACGCCGAGCTCAAAAGGTTCGCCATCACTGCATTAGAGGCATCTTTGAGGAGACCACCCTGGGGGAAGCGCCACCTGCCTCGTCCTCAGGTCCCTCCATGGAAGCCTTCACAGTTTGCAAGGAGTCTTGTAGTTGTTCCTCACAGCAGCATATAGGGATGGGAGGGAGAATCGACCCCGGTGCCCATTTTAAAGAAGAAGAAACTGAGGCCAAGTCACAGTACGGGGGTGTGGCCAAGACAGGATTTGAACTTGGTAACCTCCTGCCAGTGGTAGTCATGAGGTTGAGTATCCCAGTACCACACCTGAATGAGCCCTTGGGGACAGAAGTACTGGGGATGACCTGCTAGTGTTAAGGACACCATTACCCATTCAATGGTATCTTCACAAGAGCTGTTTCCTTGGGGCGATGCCCAGAGGGTTTTATTCCTGGGCAGAAAAGAGTCTGCAGAGCAGTGTATCCTTGGACAGGCCTGCTGGCAGGGAAGTCCCTGGCTGGTGTCTGGGAACTTGGATTTCAGGAGGATGCCAAGCTGAGAGCAGTGCTCACTGTGCTTAAACGGAAGGAAGGGGAGCTGCACCCCTGCTCTCCTCCTGGGAGCCTGGAACTTCAGTGTGTAGTCGGCAGACGGAGCCCAGGTGGCCGGCCCCCACTAAGGCACTGAGTGTCGAGTGAGCGTCCCTGGTAGGTGGCGTTTTGCATGTTGTCACAATTTGCTGCTGGGGAATTAAGCGTGTCCTGTGACTCGACTGGGAGGGGCTCTTGGAAGCTTGCACCTGGTTTTCCCAGTCTTTGCCCCGTGTGCCCTTTCCCTTTGCTGACTTGCTTTGTCTCCTTTCGCTGCAATCACAGCTGTAAGTAAAACCATGCTGACTTGTGTGGTCTTCCTAGAAAATCGTCAAGCTGAGGGGTTGTCTTGGGGACCCCCAACATAATCCCTAAGGAATTTTCTCGTACTGGAATGGCGTCCAAACAAAATAACGAATGTTTCACTTTAAAAATCAGTGTGGAGCCCAGCGGTGTGTCTCACTGGTTGAGCGTCGACCTATGAACCAGGAGGTCACGGCTGTGGGCCTCATCCCCAGTAGGGGGCGTGCAGGAGGCAGCCCATCAGCAATTCTCTCTCATCATTGATGTTTCTCTCTCCCTTTCTCCCTCTCCCTTCCGCTCTGAAATCAATAAAGGATATATATTTTTAAAAAATAAAAATCAGTGTTGGGTTAATAGATTCAGGGTCCCTGTTCTTCCAGACCCTTCACCTTTCCGAGCCTTGGTTTTCTCATTTGTAAAATAGGGATAAATGCAGGGCTGGTGTGAGGGTGAAAAGAGTAGTGTACCTGGATGTGTCATGTAAGGAGAGGGCAGAGCTTGGAGCCAGACCCCAGGCTCATAGCCTGGCCCCGCCTTTTACGGCTGGGTGACCCTGCCTAGCTCCCCCGGCTGGCAGCTGCTGAGAGCTGGAAAGGTCAAATGGGTTAATAATCCCCGTAAGCAGAAGAGTGCCTAGCACACAGCAAGCTCAGTGTTAGCTGGTGGCATTGTTGCCATTGTTACGGTGATGATGATGATGATGATGATGATGACTGATTGTAAAGAGCTGTTATGGATAAAAATGTTTTCAATGTAAAATCAGACAGGTTAACGTTAAAAACAGATTACTATGACAAAGAGACACGAGGACAATTTTCTAGATAACCGGACTGTCCGCTGACGTGGTTATGGCAGCGGTTACACAACTGTATGCATCTATCAGAACTTAGACCTGTACGCCAGAAAGGAGGCGTGTGCTGTGTGTAAATTTAAAAATAAAATTTTGAATGTCACTTTATCATCAAAAGCTCTTTTGTAAAAGAAATGGTATTTTCTGCCATGTGAAATCAGTGGCAAAGACAGCCTTTCCTAATTGCAGTTATTGAAAGAGAGGGAGAGGGAAATGCAAGGAGAAAAATAGGAAATGTGATTTACTGGTTTATTCATTTAGACCTGAAAGGGATTGATGAAATCTCATTTAAAATTTATGACTTTACATGAACGAAAGTAAAGCATGTTGATTGAGTGTCCCTTTGGAATCCATTGAGGGCTTTGGAGTAAGACGTGATTCTGGTTGTTCCCACAGCGAGCCGTTCCAGGACCGGTTTGGGCTCCGGGGGGGCGGGCGATGCGGGCAGGAGGATGTGAATACATCAGACTCTCTTTGTCATCTGTGCAGATGGGGCTCCTGCCAGAGAGCAGGGGCGTTGTGGTTCTTTGTGGCAGCCAGGCAGGTGGCTGGGTGCATCGGGCAGTGTCAGAAGCCTAGGACCTTGGTTCATCGAAGGGACGTTGAGCACACTCAGCGACGTGGGTAGAGGGCAGCGAGATGGCCACAACTGAAGGCGTGAGCTGATCAGACAGACTGAGGGGGAAGAAGGGCAGTGATGTATTCAATTCACTAGAGGCCCTTGGGGCACCCACGGGGCTGTAGGGTTCAGAGGGCAGCCTGGGATAAACAGGCGGGAGTTACAGGGAAGTGGGTTTTTAGCTCCAATGAGGACAAGCTTTCTTACCAGCAGAGCCCTTCAAGGATAGAAGGGCCTGGCTCCTTAGGTAGTGAGCTCTCTGTCACTAAAGGCATGCACTTGGAGGTTAAATGAGCACATCACAGATGGTCAGGCACAGGATCTTGGGGAGAGTCAGGACCTCTAGTTTTGATATTCTGTGGCTCTAAGATAGTTCCCCAGAGTTTTTTGGGCACCAGCTTGACGGGTGTGCTTCCTAGTCTGTCTGAAGGAGCCAGACCAGCCTCATTTCAGCATCCTTTCACTCCTCCCTGTAGAGAGCGCCTGGGAAGGCACATGGGCATTTCTTTAATTATTGTCAGCTGAATCCAGTGGCGTTGGCAGAGCCACGTCCTGGAAACACACCTTGCCAGAGGCAGGAGTGTTGTCAGCCTGACTTTCAGCCCAAGTGCCAGGGGATGGGTTTCGTTATCTAAATCCAGCCAAGCACCAGGAATGAGTACGACTCAGGCCCACCCAAGAATGCACATAATCTCCTTTGTCTTGACCTTTAGTAAAACTTCCTGGTTTTTGCTGTATAAAATAAACATGCTGTATTGGCTCTGGGTCCCTGTCTCTCCATCAGAGGACAGTGGTCCCATCCAGTCCCAGCTTTCCCTACTGTATGTATGTCTGTCTCTTTCATTTTCTCAATTCCCCGTTGCCCCTACTCAGGAACCGGACCGCTTTCTAGCCGCACTGGACTTGAAAAAGAGAGAAATATTTATACCTCCCCTCTCCCCTTTTCTCCCAGCCTTTTGTCTCCCTCCCTTTGTTCTTCTTTTCCTCTCTAAGGCTGGCTTGCCAGGCTGTCCTTGAGTCATCAGGAAAGCCCAGGAGTCTGTACACTCTGCAGTGGGAGAATGAATGTGTTTGCTCTTTTTGTTTCTTCATCCAGTCATCTGTTGACCAGACCTGCGTCTGACCCCCGCTTGCACATTGTGTTAACTGAAACCATCACTTTCACACTCATCACATAGTAAGATCAGCTCAACAACCCGTGATCAGCAAAACCCAGCAGAGAGCATTTTCCCGCCAGGGACCCACACTTCACCTGGCCCAGGACACCGTGGGGCCAGACGTGAGGGTGGGCCACACTTGCCTTCTTGTGCAGGTGAGACAGGTGGAGCACGTGGACTGCGCGGCAGGCTATGATTCAGCAGGTCAATGCGGTGCAGAGCCTCTGGTCCAGGACCAGAACACATGCCCTCTCAGCCCTGCATGGTGGGAGCCGTCGGCCTCTGGAGCGAGGGGGTGTATGCCATGCAGAGGCAGGAACAGTGAGGGGCCGATGGAGAACCTGAAGGCCAAGGCCCATGGACTTGATTCTTTTAGTCCCAGTGTGAGTAGAGCAGATGCCAGGCACACAGAGGAGGGCAGAGTATGGAGTATGAGTTAAGAATTTCTAACTCGGATACCCACATACTCTCCGGTGCCCTCCAATGAACCCACACCCTCCCTCTCCTTTCTGTAATGCTCCAGCAGCCTAGATCCACACTGCCCGACTCCCAGCCTCTACAGGGCTTCCAGGCCAGGCCAGCAGTTCTGCCATTGGGGATGGGGAGGTGTGCGGGGTGGGGGAGGCCAGGTGGAGTCTGTGAGTCTGTGATATGCAAATGAGCATCTTGAATGGACCGCGGGGGTCTCAGCTCCAGGGTGGATGCAGCTGTCTTAGGTGGCATTATTCTTCGAGGGCCCTCCATGTGGAAAGAGAAAAGCCCATCTGTTAGTAGACTCGGCTGTGGGTGAAGCGACACCAGCCCCTCCCGGAGCCCAACGCCCTGTCGTGCAGTTGAGCCAAAAGCAGATGGCACCCGGGGCCTGGGAGGGAGTGTGAGACCAAGCTCTGCCGCAGACAGGCTGGTAGCTTTAGGAAGCTGCCTTTTCTCTCTGAACCCGTTTTCCTGCTGGTGGGGCAAAGACAATGGGTGACGAAGCACGCAGGCATCCCTCCGGGCCTAAGGCAGACTCTCCTCCACGATGCCTTGCCTATGAGTTTGTTCTGTGTGTGTGGAGAGCTTTGGTCTGCAACTGCCCTCCCCATGTTCGACACAGGCTCACCACAGTCAGGGGATTCCGGAAGCGGGGTCCTGGGTCCGGGCAAGGTAAAGGTTGTGTTCCCTTGTCTTCTTCCAGCTCCAGTGGTTGTCATCCCACCCCGAAATGTTCACAACATCACTGGGGCCCAGGTGTACCTGTCCTGCGAGGTGAGGGCGGTGCCTCCCCCAGTCATCACGTGGAGGAAGGTATTTATATATCAGAACTCTCGTGTGTGTGTGTGTGTGTGTGTGTGTGTGTGTGTGTGCGCGTGTGTGTTTGGGGGGCAGATAAAGGCTTTTTATCCTTTTAAGTGTGTTTGTGTGCATATGTGGATCATCAGAGGACTTTATTTTTATTTTATTTATTTTTTATATATATTTTATTGATTTTAGAGAGGAAAGGAGTGGGGGAGAGAGAAACATCAATGATGAGAGAGAATCATTGATTGGCTGCCTCCTGCACGCCCCTCACTGGGGATCGAGCCTGCAACCCAGGCATGTGCCCTTGGCTGGAATTGAACCTGGGACCCCTTAGTCCGCAGGCGACGCTCTATCCATTGAGCCAAACCAGCCAGGGCAGATCAGAGGACTTTAAAAGTATATCTTATATACCATTCCTCTGCCTCCAGGTTTATGCCTGAAAACATTCACCCTAAAGCTCTCCCCAGAGAAGAGCCGTTGCCATCCTTCCTGTGGCATTTGCTCTCTTGGCCACTCAGCTGTCGAGAAAGTTCTGCTGTTTACCTAGCCTCGATCAGCTGGAATGAAGTAGGAGACTACGTCACTGGATTGGGTTTTAGAAAGACTTGGCTGGTGGCAGATAGTCCCATCCTGTTCCAAAACTAGATCTTCTTGCCGATCAATTTTTGAGCAACTAGCACGGATCCCAGCATAGGTTGTGCCTCGTCTCAACAGCCCTGAGAAGGGCCATGGACCTCTGACCTGCCTCTGCAAGATGGAGCTGGTGTCCGCATCTTTGCTGTCTACCAGAGTGTGCTGGCTGCATATGCATTTGGGTTTTTAAAGTGACTGACGAACATTTTAACAGGAACAGGAGCTGTCAGGGTTTTGGCCTTCCCGTCAGTGGGAAGATGATGACAGTGGGGATGTCTGTGGGAGGTAGTTTCCAGAAATGCTTTCTCTGAACCATTCCTGGCTTTCCTGTCCTCTTCAGGTCACACAGTCTCCTGAGGGCACCCAGGCGTTAGAGGACCTGCCTGGGGACCATGTCAATATCGCTGTCCAGGTGCGAGGGGGTCCTTCTGACCATGAGGCCACAGCCTGGATTTTGGTGAGTAGCTCATTTGTTTCAGATTACTGGCTACTATTGACTGGCCCTTGTAAAGCACCCTTTATATTTCTATAACATGTTACATGTTTCAAAGCTGATCTTATCCAGTTTTCATTGGCCCCCGGAAGAACTCTGAGGAAAGCAGGGCCGGCAGTATAACCCCTGCGAGCAGGTGATCTTTCGTGTTCGGCAGAATTATGGCCCCAGAAAGAGGTCCCTGTCCTAGTCCTTGGAGCCTATGGATGGTTTCTGTTATGTGGCAAGAGGGGAGTAAGGTTGCAGATGGAATTAAGGTTGCTAATTACCTGACTTTAATAAAGAAGTTACCCCACATTATCTGGGTGGGCCCAATGAAATCACAAGAGTCCCTTAAATGTGGAAGAGGGAGGCAGGAGAGAGGCAGACAGAGAGATGGCAGTGGGAGAAAGACATGACTCGCCATTGCTGGCTTTGAAGATGGAAGGAAGGGGCCACAAGCCAAGGAATGCAGGCAGCCTGTAGACTGGAAACGTATGTTCCCTTAGGGCAGTGGTTCTCAACCTGTGGGTTGCGACCCCTTTGGCGGTCAAATGACCCTTTCACAGGGGTCACCTAAGACCATCCTGCATATCAGATATTTACATTACAATTCATAACAGTAGCAACATTACAGTTATGAAGTAGCAACGAAAATAATTTTATGGTTGGGTCACAACATGAGGAACTGTATTTAAAGGGCCAGAAGGTTGAGAACCACTGCCCTAGGGTCTCTAGAAAGAAAGCAGCCCTGCCAACACCCTTGATTGTAGCCCACTGAGACACATTTGGACTCCAACCTCAGGAAGTGTAGATAATAAGTTTGTGTTGCATTAAGCCACTAGGTATGTGGTAATTTGTTACAGCAGCCATAGGAAACTAATACATTTGCCTGAGACCACATAGCTGATAAGGAGGGAAGGCTTACTTTCACATCTTCTCATAGCTTTTCTGTGCCACTTGCAGCAGTTTTGCTAAGATGAGGGAATGAATGCCATGTGTTTGAAGGAGCAATGAAGTGATGAGACAGGGGTTCATGTTAGCCAAGTTGCTCTAACTCTTTGAGCTTCAGTGTCCACAACTGTAAAAAGAGGGCTTTGGACTGGACAGCGCCCAAGGGCCGCTTGATTCTAACCATCTGTGACTTACCTGCGAGGCTCCTGTAGCATGAGGGTGATGATGCTCCCCCTTCACCCATGATCACCGAGTGTTCAAAACGAGATGGTGCGCATAAATCCTCCCCCGTCTGTAGAGTGACTCGCCATTGATAGAGGTTGTTCTAACAAGAGAAAGCAAGAGAGGAGAGCACTGCTGTGGATCTGCTCTGCAGGGGCCGGGGAACAGGGTGCCCTCGGGGGTGTCGCCCCCACTTCGCCACCATCTCTGCGAGGTTTGGCGAATCCTCGGCATCCAGCTCAGAAACTCAGAATGCAGTTGGGTCCGTGGCTTTTTCAAATCTGAGCCTCGGTGTCCACAATTGTAAAAAGAGGGCTTTAGGCTAGACAGCTTCCAGGGGCCCTGTGACCCTAACATTCCCAAACTTTCTTACAAAAAAGTGTGGAGGAAAGGTTTTCTCTGGAGTTAATTTGTGAAGGCTGCCTCCTTTGGGAGCCCCTGTGGGCCATTCCTTGGGCACTAGATTTTTGTTCTTTTCATTTGCAATATTTTCCTTATAATCTATAACCAGTGGTTCTCAACCTTCCTAATGCCACGACCTTTTAATACAGTTCCTCATGTTGTGGTGACCTCCAATTTCATTGTTACAAATTGAACATAATTAAAGCATAGGGATTAATCACAAAACCAATATGTAATTATATATGTGTTTTCTGATGGTCTTAGGTGACCCCTGTGAAAGGGTCGGTCGACCCCCAAAGGGGTCGCGACCCACAGGTTGAGAACTGCTGATCTATACCTCTCCCTTTCAATAAGAGGATGGGGTAGCTCACAGTAAAAGGCAGGGATGCAGAGGAAACATTAACATGAGAACCACGATAGAGGGTGCTGAGGAAGACATTTAAATTCTTCGTTGGCAGCCAAGGCAAGAAGAGAAACAGAGTGAGCTCAGGCTTATTTTGAAAAGGAATAAGTGCTCAGAGGTATCACCAAGACTCAATAAGGAAGTGATTTTGCTGTGCCACAAAGAACTATAAACTTGTTTGCTTTATTTCTAGATCAACCCTCTGAGAAAAGGAGACGAGGGAGTGTACCAGTGCCACTCGGCCAATGCGGTTGGGGAGGCCCAGTCCCACGGCAAGGTGACGGTTAGCGACCTGAGCCCGTACAAAGCCCCTCGCTTCCCAGCTCCACACGATCGCATGTGACAGAGTGAGTACATGTTCTAAGTCATTTTTTGTATTTTATACACCTGTGCCCCAAGAGATTGAGATGGTTTATAAAGATGTGCAATAAAAAGAAAAAAAACACACACATAAACGCAGGAAACCAGGATACAAAACAAGAGTAGGAACATACGACAGCAGGTAGAATCTCTAGTGTGTTCTATGCACATATCACTCTGGGCTTCCCACCTACCATGCACGTCAAGAGCTGTGAGCGTTACGGGCATGCACAGGGTAAAGAGGACCGGCCGTTTCTCTCTGTTTCTGAGGCTGAGTGGAGTGTTTCCTGCGGATCCCCCTAGAGAGGCACCAAGACAGCAGACACAGTCATGTGACAGCACCACGTGCCCACAGAGAAGACACATGAGCCTCATCGTCTGTGTCCCAGTTCCTCCCTGTGTCTCTTAGCAGCATATCTGCATATCTCCCTGGGCCAGGCGAGCCCTAGTCCTCAGTCACCCGGGTGAGAGCTGTCCCCACCAACAGGTGGACTGTGAACTTAGAAAACGAATCCCTTATTAGCCAACTTCTGCTTAACAACCCCCAAACCTCGCTGGTTCACAGGCACCAACATGTATCTCCTCCTCACATTCCATGTCGAGGTGGCAGGTTGGCGTGGCTCCCCGCCATGTGGGGACCCAGCTGGAGGAGCAGCCCCGCTGTGGAATATGTCCACTCTCATGGCAGAGGGGACGAGCAAGAGGCCAAGCCAAGCGCACAATCTCATTTAAAGTTTCTGCTCGGATTCAACGTTTGTCACATCTGCTTAACTCTGTATCCAGAGCAGGTCACAGGGCCACACCCAGCCTTAGAGGGGTGGCCGACGTCTGCTCCTCTCACAGAAGGAGGAGGGCAGGGAGGCATGATCTTATTTGTGTGTGTGTATGTGTTTTTAAATATGTTTTTTATTAATTTTTTTTTTTTAGAGGGAGAGGAAGGGAGAGGGAGAGAGAAATACCGATTGGCTGCCTCCTGCTTGCCCCCTACCAGGGATCTAGCCCACAACTCTGGCGTGTACCCTGGCCGGGAATCGAACCAGCAACTTCTAGGTGCATGGGATGATGCTCAACCAACCAAAAGGGAGGCATTATCTTACAGAACAGCAGGAATAGTTGTGAACAGGCACTATCACCAAGGCCTACTGACAATTTTTCAATAGCAGGAAAAATTAGAAACAATATGAAAAGCATTAGGATTTTGCTGTGGTTGTGATGTGTATGATTTAGCCACTATTGTTAGACACTTCCTGTGTACAAGGCCTTATGTCAGGTCCATAGGGATGCACAGAAAACCAAAAAGTGAACGTCAGGAAACTACCAGGAGTGCCATTTCCCGCACCTCCCAGCTAGCAGGAAGTTGACTGTGACAGAGCAGGCTTCTGTCCTCTAACTCTTTTCCCTCTCTTCTTCCAGGGTCTCAGAAGCATGATCACGGGATGATGGGAAAGTCAAGTTGTGGGTGGTTTTGCTGTGTGACAAGTTGGAAAAACTGTTTGTAGATGACCCCTTTCGTAGTTTTTTAAAAACTAGATGCAAACTAGATTCATATGCAGATGTAGTTTTTAGCAGGGCAAACACGGGGAAAATGTCTGGACTGCACGTGGTTTTTTTATACTTTTGAAATGAATTGCTCTGAGAGAATTCTTTTTTTAACTACTCCCTCGCGGGGGCGGGGTGGGGGGGGAGCATGTCGTGGTGTATTTGTAACTCTAAAGGGCTAGACGAGGGGTGTGCGCTGTGACGCTTCACCTCAGTTGTCTGCGGCTGATTGGTGGAGCCCTGTGACTTAGTGTGTGTGGTAGAGCCGAGGAGGAGGGTCCCTCTGTCCTTTGCCTGACCTCTCATTTGCTGTGTGACCTGGACAGGTCCCTACCCTCTCTGGGCCTTGGACTCTTCACCTGTGAATGTGGCATTTGGACTGGATGTTACCTGTGTCTCTTTGAGCCCTGTCATCCTAGAGTAAGATGGCCCTACAGAAAAAAATACAGGAAGTGTGGGCTTAGCGTCCTTTTTTAAATGGTATTTCCTCAAAAACAAACACCATTGCTTCACACTAGGGCAGTGATGGCGAACCTATGACACGCGTGTCAGAGGTGACACTTGAACTCATTTTTTTGGTTGATTTTTCTTTGTTAAATGGCATTTAAATATATAAAATAAATATCAAAAATATAAGTCTTTGTTTTACTATGGTTGCAAATATCAAAAAATTTCTATATGTGACACGGCACCAGAGTTAAGTTAGGGTTTTTCAAAATGCTGGCACGCCGAGCTCAAAAGGTTCGCCATCACTGGCCTAGGGTGAGGATAGCTGGCTGCAGCTCTTCTATTCCTGCCACTCTCCCATTTTAAAGAAACACTTTACCAGACTCAGGGGCCCCATGGCTGGGCGTTTGGGGACCGAGATGTCTACTTGTTCCCAAGCCCAGCGTTCTTGAACCAGGTGGGCAGTGGAGACCTGATTCCTAGACATCAGATTGTAAAAACAGGTCCCATGCTCTCTCTGGGCTGTGGAACGAGAGTGTAATAGAAGGTCTGACTTAGAGGTGTTTTGACTTCAGCCAGGAATGGGGCTTGCTTTCTTTATTTTAAATGAAGAAAGGAAGAAGGAGAATATTTAATATCTGGGCTAAGAAAAATAGATCTCCTCGGCAATTAAAACTTTTAAAATCGGCATCTCTCATGTGGATAGTCCTTGACGTTCATGAAGCCCTTTTCCGTCTGCAGTCACTTCCCCAGTGCAGGGCAGCAGGGTGCGGGTTAGTGTCCCTGCCCCTTTCCTGGGGAAGAACCAGGCTCTGAGAGCAGAGCAGGTGCCCAAGGTCTGACGGACTCAGGTGCCTGGCCCTCCTTGGCGCGCTCTCCCCTCCGTGGTGCTGCTTCTCGGGATCATCTCGAAACTTGTAGGAGAGGCTGCCAGTTCCCCAGGTTTCAGGGACTCTTCTCCAGGTTCACCTCAACACTGAAAACGCCACCTCGTGCTGCCCGTGGTGGGCGTGACATCTTGGGGTCCTTTTTGGAATTGCATTTTCTGCCTTTAAGGCTGGCCGTTTCACAACTGACATTTGGGGGTGGCAACACCGAGGCATGCTACACAGCAGTAGACGGGCCTGGGAACCCAGACACATGAGGCCCATGTGGGGCTTCACCCCTGGCTCGCTGCGTGCCCCGGAGCAAGTCCCCTTCACTTTCTGCACCTCCGTTTCCTCATTTGAATGAGAAGAGAATGAAACGGGATGGGTGGTTTCCAAACTTTAAGACATTGGAACCCCTTCTTTGAGTAAAATCAGAATTAAAACTGATCAAACTGGAAGCTCTCCTTGTCTGTTGGAGGTTGGCGCTGCTGGGGGACCTGCTCACATCCCCTCCCTACTCAGCACCTCCTAGCCTCTCCCACTGACCACCACTCGATTGTACCCGAGGTCTGCAGTTAATTCCTCTTGATTGGAAGGGGAGATAAGACACTCAGGAGGAACAGGAGGCTGAGGCCCTGGAGAAGGTGGTAGAACCGTACTGCTAATAAGCACACTTCACAAAATCAATGGAATCGCCTCAAATTTGCCCGAACAGAACTGGATATAGACCCAGAGAGCAGGGTGGACAGAGCCCTGTGATGAGGGAGCTGAGCAGGAAGACTGATGAGGCTGGGTTTACATCATAATTATGTGCAAAAAAATTAATACATGTTACACTGTCTGAAATTTTCACCAAAACCACAAAGGTAGAAGGAACATGAATGTCCCAACCTAACGGCTTCTCATTGGTGAGAGCCCACGGCCTCTGCAGAGGCTGAAGAACATGTGCTTCCTTTGGAAACATGATCTCCTAGAACCTGTGTTTTCTACCCTGTTTTCATAGATGTGATGATGTCACAGGACCCCTGCACCCTGAAAATAAATGTTTTTAAGGACAGTCTTTGGTCTCTTTGTCCTTGGAATGCTCCTGTGGGTGGCCCAAGGCCCACAGATCCTTCATCATCCCTATGCATCTTGCCCCTTTTTTCCTTGCCTGTATCCTCCTTACCTCTCACCTGGGCCGTAGTCACAGCCCCAGCTGAGCACCTTGCTTGCAGTTATTAACCAGTCCTAATCGTCTGCCGCTGGCCTGATTCTTCCAGTTCCCCCTGAACTTGGGTCTCCCACTATATAAACATTCTAGTATTTAATTCACTCACTTAGATCTGCCCTCTGCCGTCTTCCACATGCATGCAGGAGTGCCATTCTCCATAGGCCAGAAGAATGCAGACACTGACTCTGTGAAGGTGGGAGGGCCCTGGGCCCTGCACTCAGGTGAGACTGACTGGGGACGAGTGGGACAAGGTCACTGTCCTGCCAGGAAGCACAGATGTCCACTTTCTGATCAGAGCAGGAGATCAGGGAAGACTTCCTGGAAGAGAAGAGGAGGCATCTGAGCTGGGTTTGAGTGGCTGTGGGGGATTCCTGGCTAAGAAGAGAGCATGTGAAAGAAGCAGGGCTAGAGGAGTGCTGCCTCCTTTGTGAATGGGGAGTAGTGACCATTGCAGCTGCTTGGGAGCTGTGGTGGCAGGTGGGAGGACTGGGGCTTTGGTCACACCCCTAAATGCCTCCATAGGAGGTTGGACTTGATGCTGTAAGCAATAGGCAGCCTGGATCTCCGTCTGTCGTCAACTAAGTTATAACTGGGCTCGAGGAAGATTGTTTGAAAGCCAGTGTCCAATCCCAAATGTACCCACTTCCCACCTAAAATTTGAAAAGTCTGATTTTCAGTCAAAATTAATTTTTTTGGTCAGATTGCATGGTGAATTTAATCCTATGTTTTTAAGAAAACATCACCCTCGCCTCTCCCCCAGCGATGGATGACGCAGGTAAAATTAATAAGAATGAGCAAGTCAATCGACAGTGAACAGTCTCCTCTAATGAATTTCCTCACTCCCAGCCTTCGCCAGGGCCTCTGGGACATTAGATCAGAGAAAGATTATTATGCGGTATTTTAATTAATTAAGGGAAACTAAAGTGCCCTGGCGTCTGCAGCGCAATAATGAATTCAGAACTTAGGAACTCATCACACAGGGCAGAACTGGATGCTGGTACTTGCTCTCCCTGAGTGTGAGCTCCTCTTGTCAGGACGGGCTCTGAGTTCAGCCTCTGCCACCTCCAGGGCTGAGAAGTGTGTGGCACAGGAAGCAGTTATCTGCGTCTCTTCTTCCTCATGCCTACATCTCCCCCTGCCAGGCAGGTATTAGGGAGTGGCTGGTTGTACAGGGAAGAGTAAAAATCATTATTACTAGGAAGTGGGAGTGGGTGGAGGGAACAGAAGCCTCTCTCCATTCATGAATCCACCCACCACACACATCTGCAGAGCCCCTACGAGGCACCAGGCTTCCCTGGGTGCTGAGGGGTCCACCCAATAAAAAATGTTGAAGAAATGAATAAACCCCCCACCTTGTCCCCAAACCTGCTCCTGCAGCTAGGTCCCCTGTGGCAGTGCTGGCACCATCACCCACTCGGTACCCCAGCCAGCAACACGGGTCGCCTCCTGGCTCCCACACCTGGTTCACGTTAGCATCACTGGCATGGGCAGTACTGTCCTGAGTGGCCGTCAGCTTCAGGTGGCCGCCTCAACCTATCCTCCCACTGAAACAGCCAGCTTTAGAAACCAAAATATGCCCCTTTCACTTTCCTTTCAAAGCTCTCATGGTTTCCCATCACTGGACAACGCGTGGATTTTCCCACAGGACCCACAGCCCCTTCGCTACCCAGCCCCTGCCTCCTCCCAGGCCTTCCTGCCTCTCCTTCCTCACACCATTTCTTCAAACCCTCCATGCTTTTTCAAAAACTTCATGCCCTTCCCTCTCCCAGGAACACCCTTCCTGCGTCTCTCTGCCCGGTTACCTCCTCCTCATCCAGTAGGATCCTATCCCTCCCACCAGGCCTTTCCCTGAGGCTGAACTGTGCATCCTGGCTCCACTTAATATCTGAACATCTCTGGGTTCCATGGTTATTTATCGAGTGTGGAATATTAAGAGGTGCCTGATAAGGACATGGAGAAAAGGGAACCCTAGTGCCCTGTTGGTGGGGTTGTCAATTGATGCAGCCACTATGGAAAAATTAAAAATAGAACTACCATATGACCCATCAGTGTCACTTTGGGGTATTTATCTGAAGAAATCCAAAACACTAATTGGAAAAGACCTATGCACACCTATGTTCACTGCAGCATTATTTATAATAGCCAAGATATGGAACCAACCAAAGTGTACATAAGTAGAGGAATAGACAAGAAGCTGTGGTGCATATATACAAAGTAATATTAACCATACAAAAGAATTAAATCCTGCCATCTGTGACAGCATGGACGGACCTGGAGGCTATTATGCTAAGTGAAATAAGTCAGATAGAAAAATACAAATACTAAATGATTTCATGTACATGTGGAACTGAAAAATAAAATAAATGAACAAAACAGGAACAAACTCAGAGAACAAATTGGTGTTTGCTAGATGGGAGGGGGAATAGAGGGCTGGGTGAAAATGGGTAAGGGATTAAGATGCACACACTGGTAGCTACAAAATAATCATAGAGATATTAAGTACAGCGCAGGGAATATAATCAATAATCCTATATAATAAAAGGCTAATATACAAATTTACTGAATGGCAGAATGAC